TAAGGATTCTCTTTGATTTTGCTTATTTCATAATTAGATTTAAATTTAATTAGAATATTCTTATTAAATATACTTTAAGTGGATTCAAAATGTTTGGTATTATTTCTAAAGTTTCCTTTCAAAGATTGTGAAAATTTTTAGTGAGATATAGATACTTTTTGCAAAAAATTGAGATGGTTTTTTGAGTATTTAGCTTTAATGAGATATATTTCTCTGACAAAGTTAATTTTTAAAAAATCTATTAATAACTTATGCATCTTAGAATAGCAAATATATAATAATTCTTACAAAATTCTTATTGTTGTAGAGCATTTAGAAATACTGATGGTATTTAATTTAATTTAAAGTCCATTTAAGCTTGAAAATAAAAACAAACTTATAGGAAACAATAAATTCCATTAAACCAAATTATGATCAATATTAACAGAATTTTACACAAGTTCCGACCCAAAATACTTTATGTTAAATGTATCTCATACTTGGATGATTACTTGATAAATTCAAATTATATTATGCACTAAAGTTATAAATATTTAATTAAAAATAGATGTACGTACTTAAAAAAAAGTCAATCAAAAGTCATAGAAGAAAAATTTACAATTTCTGTCATTCAAATTAATTGGATATGACATAAGATTCACACTTCTCATTAACCTCTGTTACTCCATAATAGTACCTCTCTATTGCCTGACCTGCACAATCGTGAGCCAAGACTCATTTATTTTTTGGCAACAAATCGAAACCAGTAAGAGTTGTGTCATTTGTTGTATTACGTTGCCAGCCTTATGTTATTGGACTATATTTCACCCTTAATAAACTTATGGTTCCTATTTTTATTTTGTTCTTTCATTGTTTTACGTATAATGTATAGTGCCTTAACTGCAATGTATGGTTATGTTTCATATTTATGTAATAGGAAGGAATCAAATACTGTTTGTGTTTAAAATATTATTCATATAAATCAACATAAAAAGGTATAAATATTAAATTCCAACTGTTTACAAACCCTGAGTTTATTGCAATAAAATTTTATAGCGAAAAAACTGTATCTGTTATCAATTGCTATTTACTTTTATTACAGTTTCATATAAAATCCTAGAGCCATATTTTTTTGTATTGTGAATGCTATTCTTGAATAAAAATATACTTATAAGTATGTTTGAAGCTTCAGAAGGAGAGTCAAATATAAGTTTTGGTAATTAGTATCGTAGAAGAAATACGGATTTTGTTTAACTCACCCAATCTTGACCTATTAAGTTTTTATTTTGTAATTAATTAATATTCATCACTTTAACCGTTAATGTAATAATTAAGACTTCATGAAGTTTACAAATTTTAGATTAAAACAGTGTGTCATTTTATTGAAATACAAAGGCTTTAAAAAAGAAAGTGAAACAGTAGAAGTAGAGTAAAAGTGTGTAAAACTAATTATATTGTGGACACCTACATAATATCATGTTTACCATAGAAAATTACTAGAAACATTTAAATGCAGCTTTTCTTCAAATACACCGCACGCTTTGAATGACATGATGAAATGTTGGTTGAATGGAAGTATTGTATGAATGGAAAGTTACATATGTATACACGATTGTATGTATAAGTGGTTGTACATTTTTTGTATAACTTACAATAATTTTCATTTATATTTTCTTAGTTTTTATTCGCGATTTGTTTCGAAATAATATCTTGATGATTTCTCATAAGAAGAGAATTTGCTGACTCAAACAGAATTTTATATACAAATACAGGTTGGTATTATGCCATGTAATTATACAAACATATTTTATAAGATTTGTATTCTAAGTTTTTAATGTAATATATTCAATTATGCAGACTTGAATACGTACTAAACCATATTTTAAAAGGAGAAAACTAATAATCCTACCAAATCTTTTTACATTTTATTTATAAAAATAAATAAATAAATTGAAATGTATCTTTGTATTTGTATTTGACATGTTTATTTAATCAATCTGATTTTATAATAAATCGAGGAGGAAGTTGAATAAGTTTGTTTGAACATTGATATGAAGATGCAAACATTTGAGAGAGCAGAATAATTTACTTCACATATCTTTGACTATTCAATATTAAACCCACGTAGTATTCCTACGGCAAAGAGTCCTTTTCCTTTGAGGTCAATATATGTTTTGATTTCAAAACATTACAGTATGGTACGGCAATAAATATTTCATATATGTATATATGTACTTTAATACACTGTAGTAATCAGGAATAAATAGCATGAAGTCGATAGAAATTAATAGCCTAACCGAAAGAGTAAGAAAGCGTCGTATCATAAAATTTGGAACAATAATTTGTTTCGTTTTGTGGTTTTATTCCGGATGTGGCTGTTCATCTTTATTTTTTGTTTTAAGTTTGAATAAATGGTTGACAAGATATTTTTATAGGACAGAGCGAATTTCTTTTTAACTTTGTGTAAATGAAGTCACTCAAGATATCAGAGTACCCGTAATGATTCCATTCTTTATTTTTATCCTACTTGTCATCTGATAAATGTATTTATTTATTTATTTAAGGATTTATTTTATGAAAATATTCATTTACTATCATTAATTTATTAATGATTTCCTTTATTAGAGTCGAAAAAACGTCTAAATGAAAATTATTTTATCCTTACTTTCAGGGACCATACTAAAAGCACTTAAAATTTTATGAATCTTCTGAAATAGGGAGTATTATTTTTGTTAATGATTAAGTTTTAAAATAATATGTGCAATATAATAATGGATAAAAGAAACAAAAAAGTACATCACTGAATTAAAATTATGAAAAAATGAATGTCATCGTTAAAGTTAAATAAATATTTATGAATTGTTACTCTAAAAATCTTTAACAACTACGAGAACGGCTTTTAAGCTTAGCTGTGTAATTTACAAAAGTATTTGAGAAATGTTGTCAGAATTTTTCTTAAATGCTCGGCAAATTACTTAAATGCGATGCTTAAATTGCTACAATAAATAAGAGTCACAAGGCCACTTAGTATATAGATTCATTTTGTTATTATGTATAGTTTGTTATATGATGTCTACGTTTTAACTTATTACGCGATCTAAGACTTAAGTATTCATTTAAATGAAACTAATATTTTAGGATTACTATGTGTATTATATTATTTAAAACTATATATCACACCTCGTCTGCCCGTGACCACGATTGTTGCAAAGTAACCGAAACGTCGGGATTATGTAGTTTTTAAAACTAAAAAAAAGTTAAGTAATCCGAATACATTAGTTTCATTAAAATTATAATTTGTTATTTTTTTGGAAGCATTATATGAGATGCGTTATATGGATCGGCAAAAAAAAATTAACAAAAATCTGCTATAAGTATATTAAAAATGTGATAATGTAGTACAAATATTTATTTACATATTAAGATTTAGATCTAAAAACTATTATTCGTATGAATTTACATATATAAGGGCATTGCCTGGATTGACGGTGAGAGCATTTCCATTTTTCCGTAGTAACGTAAGAAAGTGCAAGTGAAACGGGATAAAGTTAGAAACCAAGGGTGTATTAAATTACGGAACGTAAGAACTCATACATAAATCAGGCTTTTGTGTGTCTGTGTATTGAAATTAAATGGAAATAATTGTTTTTCTGAAAAAGGAGTCTTATCGAATCTTAAAAATTAAACATATCATAACTGTATAAACAATATATTAAAACTAATATTTATGTATATCAAATGTTTGAGAGTATTTAATAAATGATAAATATTAAAAATATTAATACTTTTGTTCTGTTATGTAAATTCTATTAAAGATTTTATTTAAATTGAAGTAAAGCCACGGGAAACTCTCTAGTTGATTTGAAATTATTCAGATCATGTTATGGTAGTTGCTACCATTGGTTTATTTAAATAGCGTTACTGGCCGTATTCTTGACATTGATCTAAGATCATTCTGTTTACATTGACGTTTTAAAGATAAAACGGAATAATTATTTTAGAAATAGTGTCTTGTGTCTGGAGATAAAAGTAAGTTGGTGTTTATTTTCATTATAACCTTATCTTAATTTACTGTATATTGTAGCGTTTTTCATTTAAATGTTATATTAGTGAGATGTTTGAATCTAATCGAAAAAAAAAAAACTTAAATTAGTCTAAATAAAAAATAATGTTTTAAATTTTTGTTATTCATTTCACAATGGCTGATTAATACACACAGACGATTGAAGCCCTAAAACAATATAATATAACATTTGTTTGCAACACTATATATTGAAATTTTTACCTTTAACAAAATTTCATTTAGCACTAATTCCTTTAAATAACGGTAGTTTGTTGGGTACCGGTGAAGTTATAATTTTGCAAAGTTCAAACTTTACTTAAAATAGACCCTTCTCTCATTTATATGAAACTCGAAATATTTGTGAAAACAATATGGTGATCAGCAGTTATGTTCCTTGTTTATTAATTATTCAGAACTAATTCTGTATAAATTTATTTATGTTATGAAATTGTATGCTTATTGTGCTCTAAATTTCCACATGTAATACCTATTGACATTTTAGAGAGGCTTGTTAAATAATCATAATATATATTACTAGACACGAAAATATAAATTGAATGATTGAATATAGATTTTTATTTCAGAAATATTGAAATGGATTTCAAATATGTTCTTTTATTAACTGTTCTTTTATTATGTTTGAAACAAATGAAATGTTCTGAGGACAGATATCTTCGTTACGTTAAGGACAGCTGTTTTATAAAGGGAGAAGCGTTTTCTTGCGTAAAATACAAAGCCTTGAAAATTGCTAAGAGCACAATATTCGGAGATATGAATAGTAATGAAACAATAGCTGCTAGTAAAATGATTAGTTTTGTGAAATTAGATCAAGAAACAGTTAATAATTTAACTGGTATTGAAGACATGGATGTGATTGTTAACGAGCCAAGAGGTTTTCTGTCTGAATGGACAGAGATCGCCAACTACCTTATGACTTTAGTGAAAGAGTTCTTTAGAGATGAGAGGTTTGAGGGTCAATCTACCAGAAGGCGCTAGGACTGTTGAAGATCCGGAACCAGAAGATGGAGGTAAGAGATATTGATTTATATATCAGATAAGTTAACAGAAAAGTGGTTCTCTTTAAGTTATAGTTAATAATTTTTGTTACTATTACATCAATAGTTTTGACCGAAATTTTCGTCTTGATTGTGGTAATATTCTAATGAGATAAAGATAAAAAACTTTAATGTACCGAACGGAGGTATTTATTAATAATTACGTTCAAGTCATTCATTTTTAGTAATTATTTAAAACGCGGAAAATATATTATTTACTTTTACATTAACATTTATTGTTAAGGATAGTACATGTTGGATTTTGTAAACAAGTGATGTTAAATCAATTCAATTAGTTGATTGCTATCTTCCCTTACAATTTGTTATATTAAGACTCCGTGCATTTGAATCACAATTGATTTGATTGGGAAATACAAATTTGTAGGCAATTTCAAATTGAGTTCGTGCAAAATCATTTGAACTTAATATATGTATAAAAAAAGTACGTAAGTAGCTGTCAGTGTCAGTACAAAGTACGCTTAGTTTCAAACAATTGACACTTTACGACCCTTTTAAAAATGGATTATCCTTTTTACAAAATTCGCTTTGATCTCAATATAACATATAAAACATAAGTCAGAACAGGAAAATCCTGCGTTTGATACAGATCGCTTTAAATTGAGCCTTACTTTTTTTACTGTGCTTTGTGGATGAAAGTTAGTATTCGCGATGATTTAAATACGAATTGAATACCTTTATTTGTATAGGTTTCAAAGGTAACATTCAAATTGAAAGATACAGCCAATAAGGATTATATTATTTAAAATATATACATATATCAGAACGTTGTTTTTCAAAAGAAATGGTTTTGAATTCCTTTTCTTAAAAATAACCTCCATTTAAATAGATAAGCAATAGTTAAAGCTTATTGTAAATGAGAAATTTTGAATGGTCCATTCAGGTCCTTTAGTAGTAAAACATCAGCCTATATTGCAGAGTATAGTAATCCTTTAAAGTGATTGACCTACAATTTCATTACGTTTCCTTATAATATATATATATTTTTAAATTCAAAATGAACATGAATAAACATTATCTATACTATCATTATTTAAGAAGTATACATTGCTTTTTATTGTATCAGGCTTAATTTGATATATGTTAGTACATACATACGTAGTTCTTAAATGTCACCACAAACAGTTCAATTTTTATTCAAAAGAAAAGGGATAGACATGGATTTTAGTGGTTCTATACGTATAGATTTCAATTTTAATTATGTCAGCAATAAAAATACATAAATAATTTCTTATGTATTATATTTTCACTTTCTCAAATATTACTTTAGACGTAATATCAAGGAAAATTATATAAGTATTTTGTGTCGTAATTATATTGTACGAGTACCTATACAAAAATTGTATTGTTACTAAAATGTTTTAAGTTACGGTCACTTATAAAAATTTAACTTAAATTATAGAATAATAAAAATATTATGATATTACGGTCATATAGAATAAGAAGAAATATTTATTTGTCAAACCTTTCCTCTTTATTTAACGTTGAAAGATTAAAGTAAGTTTTTTTTTTTGTTGACTTCAGCACGAGAATGCATAGGCCAATATATCATTTGACAAGTATTCATCTAAGAAATATCTTAAGATATTTTGGTTACTATATTTATTATTTTTTACATAGTTTTCATTGTTCACTGTACACTTAAATAAAATAACTATTTGAATTCCAAATCTAAATAATTTCAAAGGAGTACTTAGTTTTTTTTTTTATTTGAATGGCACATCAACAGTACATACATTAAACACTCTTATCTGATGTGTGTACCAATAATTATAGACAAAGCACTGCTAAAGATTACTGTCTAGTGCTTACAAAAATATTATAAAAAAAATAAATTTTTCAAAGTATGTTTTAAATTTATTAAATTGAAAGAATCTTTAAATAATGAACCTGCATTTATTTTTATCCACTATTACTTTGTGGTAGGACTCTTTTCTGTTTTTGTTTTGTAAATATTGTACTGAGTATCTTCAAAGCTGATTTTTGGGAATTCTGGTACCTACTATTGGTTATGAAATCCGATATCTTGTATTGAAATGCGTTACATATTGATATGTTTCGTTAAAGATAAGCAATAATTCTCGATGAAAGCAGAACATTTATGATATATAAAGATTATGTTTCCAGGTATAGCTCTGGAAACCTTTTGAAAACCAGTTAGGAAAATGATAAATACATACTTACGAACAGACCCGGATTGAATTTTATTTATTATTGAATCTGGGTATATTATAAGTTTCGTATTCTGTGGAAACTGGTTTGTTAATCTATTTTTTTAAAGAAGTTTAGCGATAATAAATTAAAGATAGCATGATAATTTTTAGCTGTTTTAATAGACTTAGTTGACCAAACTTTTTGACACAAAAAAAAATCATTATAATTTTTATAAACATATGAATAAAACTATCGTTTTATTTTCAACTTGGAGTTATTAAATGAATTCTTTTAAATCATTCTGATACCATGAAAATCGTTTAAGCAAAAACAGTTATATAGATCAGGTTAATTTAAAAATTAAACGTATCGGAGCGTGGGAGTAGCATGAACGAGGAAAGTTGGACATGTCGAATACCAAACAGATTCAGTAAATAATTAGAAAGAAAACTTCTCTTCTACATTTAATGGTTTTAACTTTTTGAACGACATTTCTAACAATTTCTTATAAAAAAATGATGAAATATAAAAGTATATACATATTTTCCAATCCAACCAGTGATTGTTAATGCATTTTATTTTTGAAATAAAATATATTAATTGTTGTTATTGTCGAGAAAAATATTAAATAGACAATTACGTATTATTATAAGTTAAATATTTCCGCATATGTTACTATCACATATAGGTCCTATTTTAAATGTTATTATACTTAAAGAGAGATTTAAGTTTTTCTTCGTTTTTATTCGATTGATGAAATTTTATCATTAATTTTATAAAAAGTTTTATATTTTTAACAATTAAGCGTAATAAAACCTTAAATTTTCAGGCCGTGGCAAGAAGAAGAAACTGGCTATAATGATTCCACTTCTGAACCTCATGGCAACAATGAAAACTAAAATGCTTCTTATACCTATTCTTATGGCTGTAATGCTGATTAAAAAACTGTTGCTGATAGCTGCCTTACTCGTACCCAGTCTTCTTAGTACTTTGAAGGCTTGCAAGGTAAATATACTAAAATCTATAAGTACAATTTTAGCACAAAAATTTTCGATATGATCTAGTACATAATGTAGTTTAAAAATATTATTATCAATATAGAAGTAGAAATAAGAGAAACTGGCTAAAGTATTAAACATGATTTTCTTATATACCTTTTTCAAACCTTAAAGATATTCTAAGTCTCGTAACGTAGACCTTTATTTTACATTGTGTGAAAACATTTAAATACAACAATTAAAATATCAGTGTCTAATATCAAAATAGTTGGATTCAAATTTATCTTCACCATTTTTGCTGTAATTAATTCAAAATTATCAAGGCCAATTTCTTTTAAGTTAGTGATAATATTATTCTTTTATATTTACCAAAATCTTTTTAAAATCATGCGACTATCTTACTTATATGATAGACCTGGTATTGATTTAAATCTTTTAAAAATATAATAATCATATTTATAATCCTTTGCGTATAAATGAAAAGTAACTTTGAAGCTAGAAAGGATTGAAACTTTGTACCTTTAAAGAGAATATTTTAAAGACGTTACAGACAAACTCTGAGTTCCAAGAAGGAAAGAAAGATAAAGTTATAAACTTATCCGTCAGTCGTAAAGGATTAGAAAAGGAACTTGGTTTGGCGTATAAACTTTTATTCAATGAAATCTTATTAAAGAGAAACTTTCTCATAATTATTCATTAAAATGAATGCGTTAGTCTTTGATGTATTTACTTATGATAACAGATTCAAAGCTTCTATTCTCATATTAAAATTATGATTCTATAATGTAACACTAATATTGTAGAATGAATTTTAGTATGTATTATAGCAATCATTTAGACAATGTCTAGTTGCGAAAATTGTTAAAAAAATACATTAGGAATTCTTCTTAGTAAAGTTTTTGTAAACAAAGTAATCTAGCATTAATAAATAATTTTTTTTATTTGAGTAACATTTTAAAATAATTACAATAAAATTAAAAATCAGTCGCAATTTTTAATAGCATGGTAATTATCGAATGCCATTATATCGGTACATTTACTTGTAATGAAAAAATACTTACAACTTTACTAAAAAACGAAGGACATACAGCTACATAGTACAGCAAATAAGAGCAAAGATTGATCGATAATACAATTGGTAACATTGTTACGTTTTCCTGATAGAGTCAAAAACTTCATTTCTAATACTTCGCTATATGGGTCACCGTGATATATGTCGAGATATTTCTCAATGGTGTTTGTTTTCTATTACTTTGTTATAGCGCACGTAATGGATTGTATTTGATATGTTTATAATAAATCCGCTGATCTATAAACAGTTTGAACAAAAATAGTTACCTTTTACCAAGAAGTATTATCCTCGAATTCATAACATTACAAATAATTTTAATGACGCATCTACTATTTTTATGAAATAAACAATAATAAGTTATCTTATACAAATACATGATATCTAAGATTTTGGTGTGGAGCCATTTAAAAAACTAAATTTTTGGATACTACCTGCTTCACGGTTGTCTTAAAGGCTCCGAAACGTCGGCATTATATAGTTATAAAATAATAAAAAAGGCCTAGTTTCCGAAAAAGTTAGTGAAATTTATACAGCTATTTACTGGATGGGTACGATTTTAGATATAATTTGAATACAAATAATCTATCAATGCGAGTAAAAAGTAATAATAGAATTCAACAGAAGCCTTTGATGAATTATATCTGACTTGTCAATGACTGTCCATTATTTGTTACAACACTCAATAAAAATCAATAATCCAACACTATTTATCGTGTCCTCTTACTAAAAAGCTTCTAGATAACTGAAGTATCATTTATAATATTTAAATTAACAATATCTATAAATATAAAAATAATACATAATATTTCTATCTCTGTCTACAATATGTCTCTTTCCAGCACCATCATCCAATGACGCATTACTCGTACTTCGGCACTGATGCATCGGATTATAATAGCGAGTATAGCAACAGTTATTCTTACGGATCCGGAGGTGGCTATGGTAAAGATTGGCCGACAAATAGAGCTTACTCTGTTCCAAAACACAGAACACCTTCACCCGTATATATTACTGCTCCAGGAACAGCTTAAATCACTAAGATATGACCAAGAGATATACTCATATTTATTTTAGATTAAGTCTATTTATTCCCATAAATAATTTAAATTGTAATTTAAGATTGTATGTACGAATGTTTTTATGGTGTGTGACCTTATCGACCTATTAAATGAAACAAGAAGCAACGTCTTTTATTCTCTCATATCCACCGAGTTTGTATCATGGAGAAGTGTTATTGAGAAAACAAAGACTGCGAAAGCACTATATAAAAGCAATCGACACTAAAAGCTGATATTGACTTCAATAGAATTTGTAAACATTCTACTTTCAGCTTGGCTTGGATCAGATTGCAGAGTCTAGTTTAGCATACATGGTATCGAATAGTAAAAAAAGAAAATCTTGTTATTGAATCTTATAATCATATGTTAGAAGATTATTGAAATATTTAATTCAGTAAAAATACCGTTTTCATTTATATCTGAACATGAAAAGAATATATATGTAAGTCTCAAATCTCCGGAACAAATCTTTCTTTGTATTGTATTTTTATAATCCTTCTCTTTATTTTTATAATCCTTCTCTTCCAACTAGGATTTCTTCCGCATTCCTTCGATTTATTTTGTAATAACTCGTATATGGGTTGTAAGCAAATAATATTCATCAAAGCAAGCAAAGCAAAGCAAGTAAATATTTAATATGCATCCCAGCAAATGCAAGATGTCAATAGTCAGCCTCGCTTGCGATAAAACGCAATGTGAGGCTAGTATATATTAATTTATAACAGAATTCGTCTTACTAAAAATAAAGTTGTGGCACTATAAATCCTGGCATTCTATTAACACACACTTAATTTAGCTTTGAAAGTACATACAAAATTCTATAAGAAGATAAACTAATTCTAGAGATAAACACAACTTTGACAGATAAAGTTGCTAAACTATTGCTCATATAGTTCGCGGTTCCTCTATCTACAACAATCCAGTTTCTATATTAAGAAGTTTTTTTCATTATTTCTACCTTCAAAACATTGTTTCTTTACAAATACTCTGTATAAAAAGGATTTCCAACTTTGTGGTATAAACATAGAAAATATGTTTATTGTTAATAATTTTTCATAACAGCACCTATTACTTATTTTTTTAGGTATAAAATTATGTTCAAACTATGTTTTTTTTTCAAAGGCTATTAAATGATTCGATTTAAGTTCTCAAATTTCCCATTTAATGTCTAAATACATGCTGTTATATTTTAGGATTTAGAAATCGTAAAAATTGTTAACAATATCCAATATCCATATCGACAAAAAACTTAACACATTTTGGGAATATAAGATTCCATACATAAAAATTGCATTAAAGAGCTTAGGTGCGATAAAATCTTTATGTTGTATCAAAAATTTTTAGTATCGTTCCCAACATTACGACGGTATGTAAAATGCTGAGACCATTTTCGTATGCTTAAAGTTTTGACATCATAAAGATATCATTCTCGTTATATTTCAAAGAAAACTTGTACATTTTCCTTGTTGTAACATTTAGAAGTGAATTTTTTGAAAAATGTTATCATAGCGAACTTGTTTTACTTTTAAAAATATACTTAATATCTACAGTAAATAAATTTCCTTTTACAATTAAACTCGCCAAGTCAATTCATTACATTTTGCTTTCCTAAAACTAATCTTTTTCAGTTCTATAACACTGTAGGATTTATTATTTTGTTTCAACAATACAAATATTTCTCATAGTTCATTGTTTCAATTACTCTAAGTTCGTTCATTATACTTACTCAATTTAAAGAATTTGCTATTAGAAATCCGTAGGAGCAATCAATTTAATTATTAACTGAGTATACCTTTTAATAAATTAGATTGCGTATAATGTTTTTTTTTTTGTAATGTACAAAAAGTAAATGATATTTATGTAATTGTATATGTAAATGTAAATTGTATTCACATTATTTAGGTACTTTCGGCAAATCATACAACATAAGTTGTTTATTTATTCTCCAGTAAAAATGGTTGCAGTAAAAAAAAAATATATCTATGTAACATCGTAATAGTGTATTTAGGAATAGTAGTAAAAGTAATATGATGGTTGTTAGATAAATTCCAATCACTCTTTTTATTTAGCTACCATTTGTAAAGTAGTATGGAATTTCGCGCTATCATAAAGTAAGAGGCGCTCAAAGCAATTAATTATCAAATGCACGTTGGCGTTGCTGAACCTACTTGAAATAGGATTTAGCTGGTTTAACCACCGCGATGAGAATTATCAGTTTTCGATTTATACCATAGATGTTTCATCACTATCAAATTGCAAATAAAAATACTCATTATACATACATGGGTTGTATCACTTTTATGTTAGGTCCTTTTTGAAAAAAATTAAAAATGTTTTAATACTAACGCCGAACTTATTTATGTATATGTGAGAAAACATACATAAGTTCGGCGCGACATACACAAAATATTTTTAAGTTTAAAAAATTCGTACTTCTTCTTGTGTTTGATTTGAAGATCATCTTATACTAGAACTCATTTTTCAGTGCAAAAAAGGTTAAATGACATAATTCTAATAAAAAAACAGAATCATATACAAAAGAACTGGCATAAACTCTAATAAGTTCAAAATTTTAACTATTACGCTGCTATCCAGGTATCAAAATTCTACAAACTATCCATATACTATTTAGTTTAATATGATTTATTTATAAGTTCTACAATGGTCTTTAGTTTTTCAGTGTAAGATTTCCTTTTCATCAGTCCTCGAACTTATATTTGAAGATCGGATTGAAAACCTTAAAACGGAAAGTGTACATTACTATTCCTTAGCCAGAGCCGGCGACACGGTGGAATTTGTATATGTAAATTTTGTTATGAGAGCTATATTAAAAAATATATTACAGAAAGTAAAAATCTAAACACACAAGTCTAATTAGATTTTTTTTTCAACTGGAATGCCTAACAAAAGTCCAAAAATGTTATAAGGGCCAGTTTAAGATGAAAAAAAAATTGGGGTTATTTAGTATATTATTAATGTAATATTACATTGTTATTAATTTCAAAAAACTTTTTGGTTATGTTTAAATTTGAATTAAATAAAAGATGGCTGTAACATAATTTTGGGGTCATAACTAAATGGGGTCTTAAATAAACAGGATAACATCCTTCACAAGATACGTTATTAACATTTAGTATTTGTGAACAAGTCATATTTTGTATATAGCTAATATATGTACATACTTTATCAAGTTTGATTACAATATAGAAATATTATACAATACTTTGTCATTGTAATGTTGAGCTATAAATATATTGTGTAATTTCTGTTGCTAAAAAACGTGAAGCAAATTTCCCGTTGAACTTTCTCAAGTACCAGATCGATTTAAAAATTAATAATTTAATTTGCCATCATCAGAAAAATTGTTTTTATAATGTGGAGTTAGTTATGACAATTTAGAACTTTTAGTGTTCAATCTATATGCAAGCGATTTGTATTTTATTTATCTCTTTTAGATAGTAATTCTATCAAGTCATTCCATATCCATATTCAATTATTATTAGACGCTTAATAACTTTTTGAGATTTATAAAATGTGAAAAAATGAGGCACTAGGTAAGTTTCGCAAAGTCAAGTCAAAATTCTTCAATATCTGCTTGTATGGCGCTATCTAACATACGATTTCTGCAAATATACATAAGTGACAAACTGAGAGCAAAATAATAATTTTAAAAAGCCCCACACCTCTTCATTATTAAAAAGGTGACTTTTTTATGTCCATATAAAAAGTAACACTGATTTTTTTATGTTATGGGAAATATACCAGTAATTTACAGTTGAAGTAAAAACATCTTTATTAATACATATACGATAACTAACACTTTCTTTATATAGATATGAAATTGCGTAACATTAAATTAACGATTGAATACCGTCAATTTTACTTTTCTTGACACGCATGGATTACTCGTTAAGGGGATATCACAGTATTTTAATTGAATGAAAAGTCTTTGTAATATTATTATTATAAAAAGTATATTTAAAAAGTTGTTCATATTATAATGAACCTTCCATTTCGACTCGTATCCAGTCAATTTACAAAGATAGAAACATGTTAAATTATTTATTTTACACTTGAAATGCTCATAAATTTTTTATTATAATTACGACTTCCTAGTAAATAAAATCCGTAATATTGAACGGCTAGGTTAGCTACTACTACAACTAGGCTAGATACTTACCAAATTTAACACTTTTGCTCTAGAATAACGATGGCAACACGATTAATAATTGGATTCTCTGCCACGTAGTATATATCTATGTAGTATATATATTATGTGTCAAATTGCTAACTATGCATTATCATAATAATCATCATACATAAGTTTGAATATATATAAATTATGTTACATTTACAATTGGTTTAGTGTAAATCATTGAAATTACGTCGCAAATTCGAAATATTTAACACACATACATATATATACAAATTTCAAACTAAATAAATTTAAAAAATATGCACATTACCTATATCATTATAACTGCGCTTTAATGAGGCTTAAATTTTTTTGGCTTAAAGACTATAGCTTATACAGTATACATAATACACTTATAATTGCAGCTATGCATTTGCGTGACCAATTGTCGTGTAACATTTCACTTTGGTTATTTATAAGATCGTTGCTTCTTGAAAGTAATTTTTTCAGTGATAATTTTCACCTTTGTTATGTCGTGAATTATGTATGATTTTAATTATTCCATTTTGTTTTTCTTTATGTTTTTTGTTTGTTTTCAAGCAAATAAAAATCAGAATAGCATTTCTCATAATTATTTGTATTGTATATTGCGATAAATAGAATTCACACTTACTTAGAGCCTGAGTTATATTAAATTTGAGATTTTAATGAATTTTTCTTTAAGAAATTTTCGACAGTCTGTCTGTGCTCGAACTTACTAAAATAGTTTTTATTCGATAAGGATTTGTAAACGCAATGTTAAATATAATTTTTATTCTAAAAATACTCTTTATCCACGTTCTAAAATGCATATCATAAAATAAAAAAAGTAATAAGAATACTATAAAAAATCGTGACTGCTGTGAATAAGTGTTCTCAAGTGAAATCCATTGAAAATTGTTGTTTTTTTTTTAAATAGTATTTTATATGGATTTTTTTTTAAACAAACATATACGGAGCAGACAAGAAAAATAATGAGTATGACGGACACTTTAGTAATTGTCCTGTGAAAGCAATCAGTAAAGAAATCAATAAATGAATTGCATAAAATACGAATCTCAAGCTTTTTACTACAACGATTAGTAGTATTATTAGAACAATACATATATTGTTATTTTTCATCTATGCATCAAGGAAATATTTTTCACCAAAATAGAAAATTTCTGAATACCTGAACCCGTCATTGTTATGAAGCTGCTTCTTTTATAACATAGGAATTTATTTTTACCCCAAAATATAAAACACGAAAACAACACGTGTATGTAAATTGCTACGCTCAGACGTTTAGAATGTTCCGAAATGTTTATCGATGACATATATATAGATAGATATATGTATATATATGGGTTAGAACCCGTAAGAATTAGGAATCTGAAATGAATATGAAGGAAAAAATCAATATATACAAAAAACTACAAACGATGTTGTATAAAAAAACGGATAAAAGAGTTTTTTTATTTTTAGTTTTCCAAAAATTATTTTAATTATAGAATTAAATTAAATATAAAACTGAAATGATTTCATATTTTAGGATATTTTTTCTAATATGTTACTCGCTCTAATAGTGTTTTGTATGGTTTCAAAGATCTTATTTGAGATCAATATTGATAACCGTCACAAGGTTCCAAATAGATTTGATCCCTGTTTTACGAACTTAACAGATATCTCATTCCACCTTATCCCGTATCGAACGAACAACATTTTGTAGATATAAATAAATTGGTATGTAATAAATGTTTAACGAAATCGCTGACCTATAGTCAGCCGTCAACTAACCTATATTCCTTGTAAATTATTACTTTGACACATTCGGACCCAACTTCGGAAAATAAGATAAAACGAATAAAGATATTTATTAATTGTTTTTTAAGAACCTTTTCTAGAGTTTGACTTCCATATCTGTTAATATGTATGTATATCTGAATACCTGAACCCGTCATTGTTATGAAGCTGCTTCTTTTATAACATAGGAATTTAATATAGAATAGTTCGTCAAACAGTACGTCCAATCTTGATGTTGTTTTTTTGTTTAAAAAACAGTTTTTGGACACTTTCGGTTAACATTAGTTAACATTACTGGATTAACTGCCTTGTATACAATTGATGAACATCACATAGTACATAATACATAGGGGGTTCATTAAAATTTGATATTATTTTTTTTATATACTTATAGCATCAGATAACGCTAGTACGGGAATATATTATTCAACTAGGATCATTCTTTTTCAAATTTATTATTTCTAGTTGAAGTCTGACTATATTAAGAGATGATTAAAATTTTTGAGACAAAATTTATTCAGCATTCCGAAATATAAAATTTCTATTCGAATTCTAATAAAAAAATTACAGTAGGTAATAAGCACAAGTATAAGATTAAAACATAAACTGAAAGTTATAATCATATTGTTACAGTTCATTAAAATGATGGATAAAATAAGCGAAATTGTAGAAATAAACTTATAATTGTGACTAAGGTATAAATTAAGCTTTACTGTGATGAAAAATCATTCAATTTTATACTCAGTTTATAAAACGTCAAGTGAAATCATTCTGACCTTGTTTTAATTATCTTCACTCAGTAATAGAAGACGTGAAGGGACGTATCTTGTTACTGAAATTTCCCTTTATTTTAAGTTCAGTGTCAGTTATAGATAGATTTGTATACATAGTATGTAATAAGATTGGTAGGGATCACGTTTTAGGGATAAAGTTGCAATTTTTGCAAATTTTCAGTGCTGGTATCAGTTTGATACCATTTAATGAGATAGAGGAGATATAAATGTTATTCTTATTAAATTTTACCAAATATTTACAAAATATACTGGTTATTATTTGTATAATCTTTCAAATAAAAATTAACTATTCGATCACAGAAAAAAAAACTATTTTCTATTGTCAATAGCAAGAAAAAGAGTTATCCAAGCAAATGAAAAATTTTGATGGCTATACATTTTTCTCCGATGCATTTGAATGAAAGTTTTATTATTTATTATACAAAGAAACATTGAATATAACGAGATAACAAATTTAAGAAGCTTAACGAACTTTTTAAGAAAATATATAAGAAATTAGTTGAAAGATAGAAACAAACATCTTGAATTAATAAGCTTTAGAATGATTAAGGAGTTAATGTAGAAAAAATTTGAATAAAAGGAAATTTTAAAGAGAATCTTCAGCACGAGCTAAGTGGACAAACGTGTAAGTCCTTATGATCTTCCATCAGATAAAGTGGAGCTTCCAAGATGACAAAATAACCCTAAATTAATAACTTTTGTTCGTAAAAGCAATCAATATTCATAATAAATGTTATCATTACCGAAATTGTGCCTTAACTTTCTTTGAAAAAATATAAAGTTTCGTCACTTGTGAAAACTGCTGTCAGTAATAATATGAACGTAGTAAGATCAGTTAGAATTTTGCAAGAACATTTGTAGTTATAGTCTTAATAAATAAATTAGAAAATATTCAGAGAAATTAAAAACATAAAAGTGCCTCAGTTTCCAAGGTTTCACATTTACTGTCGATCTAAGAACAACGAATAGAAAAAAATATATGTAGATATAGACTAAAAGTCAGACAACAAGACAAAGATTTCATAACGACTATTATTTCAACTTATATATGTAATATAATGTCAGTTTAAAGTTATAAATCATTCAGAATATAAAATTATTACCCATATATGTTATAGAAATAAACATAGTTTATGAAAATGCTCTCCTATTTAAACAGCTTTATGAACGACAATTTAAATAAGAGGTTTTATATTGTAGAACGTTTAATTTGTCTATTATCTGTAATTGTAATCAGACACTATTTTATTTGGGTAAATGATTGCAGAAAAAGAATATATGTATTTCTTGTACTATACAAACCAATATTGATCCTTTTCACTATACATTCGTCTGTCAACTAGAAATTTAACCAAACATTACTATGAATATCGTAGTCCCCACTGTATGTGAATTCATGCGTGCAAATATATAGCGGTATTTCTCTATGCATTTCTGCATTTGCCGTGATAGCAGCGGTTGTTGACTAGTGTAATATTGATACGTAAAGTGCTAGTGAAGTGATAGACTTATCGATAATAATGAAGAGCCTTTTGTTAACTGTTATGATCATTGGGATCGCGGGGGCGAGTGAATTAGAAAATGGGGTAAGTTATACTTATAGATTACGTAAATAATTGACATTTATAAAAAAGAGCATACAAAAAATGCCATGAGATCATATTTAACACAAATCTGTTGGATATTTTCAATCTAAAGGATGAATCAAATATACAGAATTTTGTGGTTTTATTCAATACTATTTGCAGTACACATTGATAAAATATTAATAGATTGATGAAGTTATAAATGCATTTTTATATTTTACTATCAAATTTATAGTCGTAATGTTATATTTCTTGATATAATTATGAGAGAATAAAAAAAATACTAGAAAAATTCTATTAATTTCACAATGTTATAGAATAAATTTTATAATCATTTATCAGAAGTCAGATTAATTTATATTGACAATAATTTATTAATGTAATAAGATCAGTAACGCATGCCTGAACGCAACCAATCGGCAACATTTCTATTTACTAATTGGTATTTATAAAGTGAAATTAGAACCTCTACTGAAACGATCATAATAACTCTTCTACCTGGCAATTTCCCAGCTATAGCCAGGGTCTGCCTTACATATTGTGTATAGTTTTGGCTATTTGTTTTTACGACCGGCCGCCTGCCTGACATTAAATCGTTTTCAACATTATCAGTGATGTCTAAATAGTCTTAGAAGGTACATATGACTCGGAAAAATCACATTGGTACTTGCCCGGGCTAGGATCGAACCCGCGCCCTCGGCATCGAGAGGCGGGCCCTTTAACCACTAGGCCACCACTGACTTAATAACTACTTATGTATTATTAAAAATTACGACTATGATTTAAGACAAACTATATATGTTTCTGATATATACAACAATTACGACAATTTTCATATATTCTATTTCAACTATTTTTTGAAAATATATAACAATAAAAAAATATCGAGACTCAAATAAACTCGTAATTATAATATATTCGAAATAGCTTCATGTATTTATATTCCACTAAACATAGTAATATGACTTTTATCTTATATACAAGGTTCATTCATATAAGGTCTTGTTTTATATATCTATCTTATCTTAAACTAATTATCTAAAAACGTGTCATCATTGTAAAAGGTTTGTAGATAAAAGGAGAATAAAAGCATTCAGAAGTAAGATATAAAAAAAGAAAACCTGAAATAAAATAAACTATACTTACTATTTAAATACATAAAAAAATCTATAATATATGGAAAAATATGTTAGCTACTATTTCCTGAAATCTTCTGCTAATCTTAGACTACATTAATAAAGTAGCTCAACAGTAAGCTTCAAAAACTCAAACGATGCCACAGAAAAAACCTAGTCAATAATATATTTACTGCTTCATAGCGTGTGGAACATTAATTAATTAAAACTGTCTTTTTCGCCTTTCAATGGATGCTTTAATTATAATGTACGTAGATTATTAAGGCTTATTATTTACGCTCCAACAAAAGTTATTTAAATCGTTTGTATCATATATTAATATTTTTTGTTTTGTATTTATATGTATGTTTCATTATTTAAAAGTTTATTGTAGGAGTAACCAAAGGTTATTGATGCCCTTAATATAAAAAGCAAGTAAAAAACTCAAGGAAGACCCAGTAACACTACTTCTTCATAATTTTTTTCACTGATTGTTAAATAAGCCTAGAAAATTTATTCCAGACAGACAGACGCCTCAGTGATTTCAGGTACGAACAGTAAATTATTGACTTAATGTTCACATATTATTTTCAAATGCTTTTTTAAATTTTATTTTTAGCTAAGTATATTTTTTTATAAGTATGACATACAAAAGTAATCTTTATTAAGATAAAAATATAAATATATACGACTACTGACTTTTATAGCATTTGGTAACTTCAAGTCCAATTCCTTCATCTGAATAACAATGATATTTAATAAAAAACATTATGCAAGTATTCAAGAAATAAAAATATATACATTCTGCTTGAAAACCTTTTCTCATTCAACTGGGATTAGCGATCATTATAAGCGTATCTTTTTATCGTGAAAATCGCTTTATACTAAAATCGATAAACTAATCGACCTGACATTTTCCCACTATAGCCAGAGTCTGCCTAATAGTTTCGGCTATTTGTTTTTTACGACCGGCCGCCTGCTAATAACCCTCTTTTGGGAATACCCAATCATAAATAGTCTTAGAAAGTACCGAGCTGCACCCTCGGCAACGAGAGGCGGGCCCTTTAACCACTAGGCCACCACTGACTATATCGATTGACATACTACATAATTAACCTATGCTAATATAGTACCCATTATAATATGAAACCGAGCTTCCTAAAATATAATTTAAGTAATACATGAAAACGCCTTTAATAAAATGAACAATGGCTGTTAAATGTTCATTTAACGTTGTAATAAAATTCATTGTATACTATTTATTTAATTATTCATATAGCATATTGTTATTAGGCATGGTAAAATATTTACTGTCTCTTTACTTAGTATAATTGAATGAGCAATTCGTATTATAAATGTTATAAATATATGATGTCATTCTTATTAATTTTGATAGAACTTAGAGTAAATTACGCATACTGTCAAAAGCAAGAGTCATTTACTTATGATTTTATTCAAAAATGTTACATTTTAAAATGTACATAATATAACTATGTTTTTAACTTAATGAATATAAAAAGTGGCTTAAAATGTATGCAGTAATATTTTCTATATACGAATTGACAATATTTATGCCTCAGTGGAAGTTTATAGTTGTTAAATTTAGTATCGAGATTACTCTTTATTGACAACACCTGTTTAGCAATTAAAACTTCCAATTGAGCGTAATATTTTAATCACAAGTGGTAGCGGTAGCGAGGTACTTATTAATGGCAAAAGACTAAACGCTACGATTTTACATTCTCATCAGGCTTTAATATTAGCAAGGATATTAATTATGAAAGCATTCTAGGTTGACATAATATCTAGTATCTATAAAAGTTAAATTGAAAATATAATTATCTTGTTCTATCATTTTCAATATCCTTATTGATGCCATAGTTTACGCCACACATGTGGTATGAACGAGGGGAAAGTTGAAAACTGGAACGCCTTAGTTCCCAGAGCGATCGCTATATCATTGAGAGAGTTATAAGATATTTCAATTAAAAACAACTGATAAACTTAATGATATAAAAAAAGATTTATTACTTTTTAATAGATGAAAACATTATAATTTAACAGGACTTAATAATCCTTACAGCATGACAAAAAAGCAACAACCACTACAATAATAAAATATATTTTTAAAATCTGCAATGTAAATTCTAAATTGGGCACATACCGGGTTAATAACTAAATGATCACATATTTGAATGAAAACCATTTGATTATTTTACATTAAAATGTGTCTTCTTGTAAAAAAATTGAACTATTGTGAAAGGTTTCTGTAATTAAAGAATAAATGAATGAAAGTTTTTCCAGAACAATGCGATAGACTTTCATTGATTTCACACGTTTACTACTACTACATACTACTTAGTTGTAGAGAAGGATTAATAATATAGGAGACAATTTTGTATGTTAAGATTTTATTTCATATAATCGTCCCTTTTTTGACAAATTTTTTTTTTATATACAGTGCTGAGAGTTGTAAAAATTATTTAATTTATATGTAGGTTGTACATATATTTATATATTTATATATTTGTGGACCGATTGTAGACTGGTCATTATTTCCTACTCCTAAATAACATCTAAAAAATGAGTATTAATTTAATTAAATCTACATTTTTGTAATGTGAATCGAGCTGAAAGATTTATATCGTATCTTCTAGTGTCCAGATTCCTACAGGGTGAACGAAAATTATCTGATTATGAACTATGAAATTAAAACTCTCGGCATATTAAAAAATCTTATGTTTTACAAAATACTCTCATATATGTATAAGTAAATATATAATTGCTTCTAAAGATAATAAAAACTTATAAATTGTTGCAAAAAGTATTCTTTTCCCATTTTAAGTAAATAATTTTATTTATTTATTTAGTAAAATATTACAAGTGTATTCATTATGCGTCTTAAATTTGACTGTTTAAAGATGTTAGTTCAATATTTTGAACATCAACTAAAATGGTTTTAATTATTTATAAAGAATTAAATATGTTCACTTAAGAATTATAACTTTTTACAAGATGTTACAAAGGTTAACATTCACAACAATAAGAAATAGTTCCTATTCTGTTCACGTCTCATCTTTTCAATGAAGTTTTCTCCTAGTGTAAAGTTACGCTTCAGATTTAAAGTATCTTTTATGAAAGCCGCTGTAAATCGTAGCACAAAAGCAAGTTTTAAATGAAATGGTGTTGGTTTTCAGCTTGGTTTGTTATGTGGGCATTAAGCGAATTGAAGTTGGCACTTCACTGCAGACTCGATTTAAACATCTTATCTAAAGTATATGTAATGTTAAACGAATCTGAAAAGTTTCTACATGTTTGTACGACTATAAATAGCACTGAAAAATTTAAAGTTATTTATTAAATTTTGAATCTTCTCATATTTCAGAATTTATTCACCAAACGCAGAAGTGAAAGGCGATAAATATTTACCATAGTTTTTAAAATTATGAATTCTTCGAAATTATATGTTTTTCTCCCAACGTAATTAGCATAAAAAGATTAAATAGTCTTATTACGAGTATATAATAAAACTTTTATATTATATTATAATGCCTTCTTATTCCTAAAATATATAAAACAAACTAGGTTAGTTTGTTTTATCGATAAAAAATAAAACCAATTTTCTTGCTATAGTAACCCAAATAATAAACAATATAATAATTTTTTCCTTTCAGTAATTCAACCGTCGATGTTCAAATTCTGGATTTGGTTCAAATAATTCGTTTTATTTATTTCTTTATTTTACAATACATTTCAAAAGTTATAACAAAGTCACGTTTTGTATGTGAATTCTAGCATCGAATTCAGTCCTAACAAAGTTTAAAGAAACTATAGCAATATGTCAGCCAAAATAGATTGAACTTTTACGTAAACGTGATTTATGATAGCACAATATAATTTTCATGACAATACAAATTTGAGAGTGCTAAAGAATCTGAATTGATTTGTTGGGGAATCTACGAGAATTTTAATACATAATACTCTGTAAAAAATAAAGTAGTTTGAGCTTAAAGTAGTAGTAGTGTTTTAGTATCTGACAATAGCGTAAACTTATCTTTTTTATTTTGGCCACCTTGATGGCACTTAACTATTAAAGTGTAGATACTTCGTTATTATGTTTAAAGTCATACGAATTAAAACATTTTACGATTGCCCCCTTTCTAAAGTTTATTACTCAATAATCTTGTTTAACGTTGTCTGAATTTATATTTATAAAAAGTTATTCTACAGAAAATATAAATAAAGTATGTATGTAAATATAATATTCTATGTATCGTATAATTTCGTTACTACTTTATTTCGTTATTATTAGAATATCAAATCGTTATAAGTAGATTTCTACGAAGTAAGCCTTACTTTAACCTGACGATTTTTTTGGTGTCTGATGTTTCACGAGAAGAATATATTATCATATATTGAACTAAACAACTAACTTTGACCTGACTTTGAGTCACTGAAACAATAACTTTAGGCTAATTGATTATGGGCGGACGAAATAAAAATATCATTCCTCAAGTGTGATTTTCACCTTGTTTTATGTTATATCATTTTAACTTATAATTTGATCTAATTTGATAAAAATATTTGAAAAAACTTAAATACCTAACAATACATTAATTGAGACGTTTAAAAGATATTTCAATTAAGGAATATTTTTTGTTTGTTAAAACATATATTAAGAAATTCATTTCAGATGTTGAACAATCACTGTCAAAAAAACAACCTATAATCTTACGTAGATTTCCTCAATTAGAGGCAATATACGTTTATTTGCTTAACTCAAAGTATTCTTGAGATGGAATTATTTTTTCTATCTTTGAAAAATTGATTTGTGTTGTAATTGGAGTTACGAAACCTTGTAAAAATACAGATATATGAATAAAGTCTTTTCATAAATGGAAAAAATAGTAACAGAAAATTATTGATGTTCATGAAACATTGTTTGGAATCAATTATCGGGGAGTTTATTTTAATTAAATAAAATGTCCCCATATATAACATACCCTAACTTAAGTTTTTATAAATGAACTGATGGAAACGTTTGCATTACTTTACAAATAGATATTTAGATTAAACAGTTTTAATATAATAGTTAAAATTTTTAGGCAAAAAAAAACACATAATATGCATCTGTTTTGAAAGTGGATTTGGGTGGCACTTGTTTAATATTTCAAATGAATATACAACCCGCATATTCTTTATTATTACACCTCGGAGGATATTTGAATTTTTACATAGAATTTATTTTAAAAATAATAACATACATGATATCGAAAAAATAAAAATACCTTTACAATCAATAAAATAAATAAAGACTTATTATTCTTATACTTTACCAGATGTCAGCAACCGAAGAAACAGTGAAACGAGGGCTCACTGCCAAATGCGTGTCGAGGGAAACTTCGTCTTGCATCGCTGCTGAACTGGTCGGATATGTGGACCGAATGTTGAGAACCGCTGCCATCCAGTTATCCGATGATCTTACGATTATGGATGAGAGGTAATAAAAGACTTACTTAAAATCATTTAACAATTGTTGGCTCTAAATCAATCAGGGTGCAGTAGGTATCCATTATTATTATAAGAGCAACCGCCTCTCAGTTAACATTAACAATACATTACATATTAACAATACATTTTATCCAAACAAAACAATCATCAATAATACGTAAAAATCTTTATGATACTAAATTTATTTCAGCAATGGAGCTGCAGCAGATATACCAATCAAGAGTGAGTCTCTCGCCAGAGCTGGTACGTCACTCGAGGATAAAGCACAGCAACTAATTATGGACAAACTTTGGAACTTCGCTACAACTCGCTCTCTAAGATACAGACTGTTTGATAACGCTGATGTCGTGATTGCTGGGAAAAAGGAGCAAGACGGCACTTTGGGTGTCGGTATGTAAAAACATTCTGTTTTAAGAAATAATAACATACTCATAAGCGAAGAGCCTCGATAGAATAAAATTACTACTATAGTTGGCAACATCACTTCTATAACAGACTACTTAGGTATATTTTTATAAACGAAGTAGATTCTGAACTTCAAATATTTCAAATCACAACATATCTTTGGTATACTAAACGTTTGAACTTCAGATATCTTCTAATGAAAAATAATCGCAAACAAACACATAGAAACAATCTTGGACTTTTATATCCCTTATTATTTTAATTTTACTATGATAGAGATCAATTTGTAAATGACGGGTACATTAATTAATATCTTTTAGCAAGTAAATTTTATATACGAAAAGTTTTTACAATGACATGACGTCCCTGGTAAAATGTCTATCTAACTAACAACATAATCTTAATTGATTATCCTTGTCCTTAAAGTCTTCACTCTTAAAATATTTAGACCTTAATTTCTTGCTTGTCATCTTGAAGTTTGACAATTCAAAATCTTTCATCGCCAAGAACATTAGAAGTTATACCTATTCTCTAAAATAATGCGAGTTTTAATATTGCAATATCATTTTTTATAGAAATTTATTTATTTAATTTATTAAATTCAAATGTATTGCAAAACAAATAATTACGGAGCAAATTTATACCATGAGTAAATATAATGTTGACACAGAGCCAACCCAACCAACCGATACGATAAACAACATTTGTTCCTTCCAAATTATCATACAAAATCTGTATTATTGAGATAATTTTCGGTTTTTTATCTCTAATCTTTTATAAAGAATTCAATATTATGTTGGATGAAATTCCCATAGCAAATTTAAGGTCTATTTGTATTCGTACTGGTTACTGTTAAGACTTGATAATTCAAACCACTAAGGGATCTAAGGGATCCGTATATACATTTCGTATTAATTAAGCAAAGCAGTTAATTTTCGTTGTTTAAATTCGGCTGTTACAGTTTATAAACAAAATTCCTTTGTCTATTTTGTAACCAATTAGCCTAAAAGTGACTTAACTTTACTTAAGGACTCTGTTTTTCTGTTAAAACAATGACTAATAATAAATTGTATTAATGAAATAGAAAGCTTGAATATAGTTCAAATGATTACGTTTCAATCAATATAACACTTTATTTATAAAAGAGGGACATTTTAATACTAAACCTTAATGTTAATAATTTTCATGGAATGAAAACACAAATTAGCCAAGCTCATCACGTTTCTGTATAATTCATTTTAAGTCTGAACGTCATAAAATAATTCCCGCAGAGTACACTTTATATTAAAACCGAAATTGTTTAGTGTTCTGGTCATAAATAACGTTGTGCTGTATTTATATTACAGACATTTTATATTACAATGAAATTAAAAACATTAATGTGTTACGAAAACGTGTACAAAATTTACGGGCAGAAATGTTTTTTTTATGTAAAAAGTGGCAAACGAGTAGACGGCTCACTTGATGGTCAGCAGTGACCGTCGTCCATGGACATTCGCAACATAGATGTTGCGGATGCGTTGCCAACCTTACTTGTGGGGGAAAAGGGAGGGGTGGGAATAAGGAAATATTAGGAAAGGTTGGGAACAGGGAAAGGGCAACCGGCTCTCACACTCATCGGACGAAACGCAGTTATTATTGATTTTTCAGGCCGATCTTCTGTGAGAGGGTGGTACTTCCCCGGTCGAGCCAGCCCATATTCGAGCTGTAGTAACTAAACTACAGCTAGGCTCTACCACCTATCAAATGTTAAAAAAAAATAATCATTTTATGAAAAATAAAACATATATTCATCGTGACTTTATCCTGATTTGATTCATGAATTATGTATTATATAAAGAAGATTTCAATATGTACAATTTACTATAAATACGAATGGAATTATTCGCGACCATTAATAACTTAAAAAAAAAATCATTATCAATATCATACGAATTTTCGTATAGATTCTACTTTTTTTGTTAATAAATAAAATAATTATGTTTTGGTGCGCTATTAAGTAAAACAAAGTGCAATAAATTCACACTGACGCTTATAAACATGTATAACAATTTATACAGCATAAAAAAACTTTATTTTAAATAAACAATAAATCCTTGAACATAATAAAAATGTAAAGGATTTTAAAGATAATTTTTATTTCATAATCTTTACACTCCAATTACACCCTGGGAAGGGATCCCTAAAGACAAGTCTGTTTTATTTTAAAATAAATCTTCTTCTTGTCTTTCTCAGCGATTATATTAGATTATAAGGTTATTTTGTTACTAATATTCCGATATAAATATTTATATTAGCAATTATGTACCAATTAATAGTATGTAATAATATGATTATACAGGGTGACTGGTGAATTACTATCGATACTTGAGAACGTGATATTTGACGATCATATATGACAAAATAAAAATTAATGTAACATAAATATTAATAAATTTCTAAGTAAAGTTAACCAAAAGTTATGTTATTAATTACGCATCGTGTGAACAGCCTACAGATTAGGTATACACACACACTCACACATACGCGTGCGGCGGCGTAGTGTTGTATCAGCACGCCGCCGCACGCGTCCACACTTGGAACACTTGGAACGTGTCAACACTTTATTTATTTATACGGAAATTTGGTCAAAAATTAAGTACCTATTTTTTTTTAAATAATTCGAATGAGAATCATGTACCGAGTATTCTCCTTAAATATTGATAGTAATTCACCAGTCACCCTGTATACATATATAATATATGTATATATATAAATATTCCTATGTAAATAGTACATGTTTCGTTACACTTTCCAATTTCAGGAGTTTCAATGAAAGCCCACAAAGCAATCGAAAGCGGCAGAGCCAGAAACAAGAACATGGGACCGTTCCTTGCAGCTGCTGCCATGAAATTTGGTCTACTTGGCGCTTTGACCTTCAAAGGTCTTTACCTCATGGTCGGAAAGGCCCTCCTAATCTCCAAGATCGCACTACTGTTGGCTACAATCATCGGATTGAAGAAGCTGTTCTCTCCTCAGGTGACCGACTAAATGCATGGACCATTATAATTCTCTACTTGTTTGCATGTTCTTAAGGTTGCATGCACTTTGTATGCACAGAGATTGCATTGCATGCACAAAGGAAGCTCTCTTTTTTTTCACTGATCACTGTTATTATCTATGTAAACGATATAGCTATCCTTTTTTATTATATTAATAAAAAAGAGATGGTGTTTCACTTTGTAAGTTTTATTTATATGTACAACTAATATGATATTAGTTAAGTGCATAATTATTTATTAAAGTTATTTGCATGTGCATGACGGAAATATACAGAAGTGATTATGCATGTCTTTAATTTCAAAGTCATTTAAATACTCTTAAGTTACATTTTAAGCTTTATTTTCTCGTTGAGGTTTAGTTGAGAATTTCACCTTTTACAACAAATATTGTCTTAGTTTTCTGGCTCTTTGTTGTTAATTTTCAATAATCTCATTTTATATTTTTACTTAATGTTCCTTTTGATGATTTTGACTATGATAATTTCTAACTTCTATAGCTTGTTCTACAAATTATTCTCAATATCAATAATACTGAAATATTATACAAAAAAATATAATTTCATGAACTAATAACAAACAAATATTCTGTGTGGAATGTTTAATAAGAATTGTTAGATTTCTTGCTTTAAATAATTACAAAAATAACAACTTGATTTTTGAATGCATGTGCTTTATTCGTATGTTTTTAAATTTCCTGTGATTTTTTATGTAAATACCCAAAATAAGGACAATATTTTTTAAAATGTTTAATCAACAGAAATGCAGTATTTGAATCGAAGAATCATTGTTGGATGGTGTAACAATTTATATTTAACGTGTTAAAAAAGGACTAACGTTTACTAATGCTTTTCAGGCTATCATCAAAAAGGAATAACTCGGTTTGGTGAATTGATCCTGAAGGAGTTTATGACGAATTAACCCAGCCTAACAGACAAGAGAATTTTGCGACACAATTAACAGTTGCCTGTTCATAGATAAACATATTAAATTACACTATTAATTGGAACGTTGAATAAATTTGTTCGTATTTAACTGTTAATTCTGTCACAACAAGTGATTCGGTTACGATTGTAAATATAATATATATACATACATATATATAAAACTCTGCTCAACTAACTTGTACAGTATCTGGTATAGCATTTATGTTAACGGTAAAATATTATTTATATTAACTTATGGTTATTTATTTGTGGATTAAAGGAAATATTCACCTAACATTATTTTTATTAACCTTATTTTAAGAAATAATTATAATATTAATCAAACCAATGAGTACTCCTGTTATGTTATATTAAAATTAGTTGAGTACTTTCTCTTAAGGGTTAACAAATACACATATATATAACACGACTAAAACCATGTACTACAATTATTATTATAACATTAGAACAAACAATAAATATTTATATATAATTACTTTACTATCAAAGAATAGGAACAATATAATGAATACTTCATTGCAAACCACAAACGAGGAATAGCGGTATAATAAAAGCTCACTTCAACACAATGGTACACAACAAGGCGGTTTTATTTCTTCAAGATTGTTAGGATATGAAGCAAACAATTTACTTAACAACTGTTTTTATAATAAAAATGATCGGGATAAAAATCCGGGTTAAATCCTGATCTCTAAGAATTATGAGTACTAAAAGTTGTCTGCCTACTACTCGTATTAAAGTAGTACTGTAGCTATACATTAAGATTTTATCAAATACGTTTCGTAGTTAGCTTACCATTTTAAAATAACATACTAATACGTAAAGAATTAATGATGATTTGCATTTCTTGCAAATGAAGAAGTTGGTTCTTTACTATAACGAACAAAATATTGTTTTTAGGATAATATTAGTGTAATTGAAATAATGCTTTTTAAATTATACTGTTATTTGAAAGCGCACATACATTGAAAACAAAACATTTTTCGTGGATTTATTTTATTGGAAAATAAAATATAAGCTTAAAGAACGCTCTTAAAACAGCAAATAATGTTCATTAGGATTGATGTAAATTGAAGGAGCAATTAGGAAATTGAGAGTCACTTAAATAAAATGATCTTTCATTTCTTTAACTTCCAATTTCTTTATGATTTTTATTAATTATACATGAATATAATAATAATCCTTATAAATCAAATAATTAAGTTACAATATTATCAAAGTTTTTAAGAGTTTCTCGAACTTAAAATGTGTGTTTAAATGGAGGACAGTATTTAATTGTTTATGATGGGTAACATGAATAAAAAAAATCATCATACCTTCTGAGACAAATTATTTTCAACAGACGTGAAAAATAGACGTAAATATTAAGCAGAAAAAAAAAACTAAATATAAAATAATATAAATAAAACTAAGTTATTTTGAATGAGTAGCTGTTTTTCTATTTTTTAGGTCTACATTTTCCTAACCTTCCATTATTTGTCAGCAACTGCAAAACCGTTTTTTTTAAGACTCTTTCATCTCTTCCCGTGATCACGGTTGCTGAAACGTTATCAAAACGTCCTTAAAATGTTGAAATAAATTAATGAAAAAAACGCTTAGGTATTGAAAAAACTTAGTTTCAATATAACAAATAAAAATACACGAGGAAATCTTAGTTATCCTGTTAATATAAATTTGCTTGAAATGTATAGATAAAAATAAACATGAAATAATCAAATGGATAACAATAGCATTTTTAAAATCAATTTCTTGCTAAAATAGAAATATATTTCTTAAAATTGTAATGCAAGTCTCAACAAGAAGTTTTAAAGTTGTTAATAAAATTTTCCAAGCTTGAACACTTATTAATAACGAGTTAGCTAGATGAACGATCTATTGTTTATTTAGCCAGCATACGTCAGAAACTTATTTATTATAAAAAGATTTACAAAATTATGTAATATATACTGTATTTATAATTTTAAAGTTGGGTCCTTATTTACTTTAACTATTTTACAAACAACTCGTTAAAAGCTGGCAGTGTCCTTTGTTACGAAAGATCCTTTATATTGTGCACTACCGTAACAGTCTTTGACGCCTCTTGAGCGTTAGTTTAAAGAAAATATAGGTATTTTCATAATTTATTAAATTGGTTTAATATTACATTTTTTAATGTGTAAAGTTTTCATAATCTATAAGCCTAATGTTTAATTACAATATAATGTTTGAGGTTGACCTAGCTGAGGTCAAATTACTACAGCTCGAACGTAGGCTGGCTTGACCGGGGAAGTAATACCCTATCACAGAAGATCGGTACGAAGCGGTCATAAACGACTAAATTTCTTCGGATGAATGAGAAAAGCGGTAGCCCTTTCCTTTTTTCCACCCTTTCCTTTCCTTTTTCCCCAATCAAGGGTGGAAATGTATCCGCAAAACTATGTTGCATAAGATGTGCATGGGTGACAGTACTACCTCAGATGTCTGCTCGGTTACTGCTCGGTTACTACTCGGTAAATACTCTGGAGACTATGCACAGAAATTACACGATTTAATTCCCGCACTATTTATCTTATTGAAAAACTAGATGCACGGTAGGCCTCCATTCTTATGTTGTAGTTCATCCTTGTGTACGGAAGAAGCGATGCACTTCTCCCTACCTCATGCATAAAGCAAATTATTAAAACAATTTTTCTGCGTCTGTATTTGATTCGAGTTATAATTAAGGTAAATGAGATATTGTATTCGCCTTCTATTACTACATATTCACCTGCTAACGTGTGGAATGATAGTCAAACACTTGAAAAAAAAAAAAAATCATAATGATTATCACTTATTTTCACGTATTCACAAACATAACTTTGTTCTACAGTTTGATGATATTAGTTTTTTTCATCAATCTGAGCAGCAAGTTACTTTCCAATATAAATCTGAAAAACCACAGAAAATCTTTATTGGATTTCTTAAAACGAAAGTTTTCGATGACGGTAGAAGTTAAATAGTTTTCAGAATTTTCTTACTAGTAATGAATCGCTAATAAGATTTGAAAGTGGTTGTATTTTTTTCCTTAATAGAGTTGAACTTAATGTTTTTTTTTTTTTCAAACTAAGCGATTGCACTATTATCTTAACGTATGTAGTACAATTTTTTTAGTAAGTATGTATCGATATTGACCACTGTTAATAAATTACTTTATATAAGAAAGTCTTCATTCTTATATATTTTTATTTATTATCAGGCAAATATCAATTCTTTCACTAATTTTCAAACATTTTGTATTTAGATTTACAAACATTTTTATATTTAGATAGAGTTGAGTGTAGAATAGTGTAGCAAGTCTTTGAATGAAGCCCCCTTCTGGTTCTTAGTACTCGGTAATAATCTGTTTTAAAGCAGTTCCCAAAAAGGTCAATTTACGGCTGACATGATAAACGGCGCAAAAAAGGGTCATTGGTAATTTTATGATGGTGTTATATACTTAAATCATTAAATATAAAGCATATCATTAAATGCAAGATAAAGATTCTATTTGTGTAACATATGTGCTATTTAGTTATGTAGATGTGTGATGAGGTATATCGTTGAATTTGTTGCTCATTTTAACATTTATTGTTTAATTATGAAAGAACTATAACTCTGCCCTGTTAGAACAAAAATAAATCTTTAATATACATATATGTATTAACATATCACACACGAAATAAAATCACATATTGTGTTTGTATATGATACGGCTTTATATGAACCAGAAAAAAATATTTAATGTTTAATGTGTGGTCACCCATATTTTTAACATAAAGGTCCCCTTGTGACAGCTGTTCAAGTAATGTGTCCAAACGTTAACAAAAAATACTAAGAATGGACAAATTTATAGCGATTTTAAACCCACTAAATTGTTCCACAAAACAGAGTCCTGTGGGAAAGCCTTAAAATACGATTTACTTTGTATTGGTAAAATTAAATTATTATTTAAAATAAATGTGGTGTTTCTCACTTAATTACCACTTGAATGGAAATACCAATTAATTTTTTGATATTCCAAACAATTTGTATCAATGAAAAGTGATCCAAAATTTTAATCAACTTCTTGAAATTTATTAATTTACTAACTTGAATGACAAAATTTGAACTTTAATCAACGGTCTTAATAATTTGTTGGTCTCAAGAATTACTAAGGTAATTACATAATTGCTATTTAAGTATTTGCTAGTAAATAACGGTTTCAGTAATATTGTTAATAAATTGTTTCTCTTTAGTAGTAAGAATATATTTGATCTTCATCTTTCGAGCCACTTCAAAGTTATCATTACATTACTAATTAATATCCTCAATTTAAATGTCCAAATATTACTAAGAAAATTTCATCTTGTCTTCTTTGATCATATTTTATTGGAATTCATTTTTACTAGCAAAAAATTTTGAAACAGAAACAGCATTTCTAGGTTCTTAATAAATGTACTATTAATTTATTTTATATTAACACAGCTTAATAACGTGAAATACGAAGTTTTCACGGACTTCAAGACAAAAGATCACAACTGGCACTGGGATGACGAGATGGAAAATATGAAGTATAGAAGATATTGAAGTTATATATTTTTGTCATCATTAAATAATTTACAAAAAACATTATTGTTTTTTTTTATTTTCATATTGTTAAAGTTTATTTTTTTAAAGTAATAAATATACTTATACAAGGTGACTGGTGAATTACTATCAATATTTAAGGAGAATACTCGGTACATGATTCTCATTCGAATTATGTAAAAAAAATAGGTACTTAATTTTTATCCAAATTTCCGTATAAATAAGTAAAGTGTGGACACGTTCCAAGTGTTCCAAGTGTGGACGCGTGCAGCGGCGTGCTGATACAACACCACGCCGCCGCACGCGTGTGTGTGTGTATACCTAATCTGTAGGGTGTTCACACGATACGTAATTAATTACATAACTTTTGGTTAACTTTACTTAGAAGTTTATTAATATTTATGTTATATTAATTTTTATTTTGTCATATATGATCGTCAAATATCACGTCCTCAAGTATCGATAGTAATTCACCAGCCACCCTGTATATGATTTGTATTGTATATGTATTTTTTGTATAAGCAGATTTCTTTAAAGTAATGTTTTGTAAATCTCCAAATCGTAACATTTGTAAAACTTGTTGTCAGGAAAATGTCCTAATCTAAAATAGTAATAAAACACTCATTCTCATAGAGTACCGTATTTCTACTATCTATATATTTTAATTATACTCTATATTACTGCCATAGATACAGATACAACTATAAAAATAGTACATTAAATAGGTCTATCTACTATAATATATTTGAAATACTTACCTCTCTTGCTAAGTTGTTATAAATTTCCAAGAAAGTGTAATCGATTGTCAGATTCGGGTCAATTCTCTTATAAAACTTTCCTTGGCGACGAAATAAACGTGTAAAAATGAAGCAACATTATATTTATTTGATCTTTTTATTCACATAGTGCCGCATAAATAATATTAATCTAAAATAAATTAACTTAACTAAAATTAAGTAAAGTCGACGGGCTCGCGCTTATTATACCTCAGAATTAGACTAACACACTTACGAGTTTAAACTTCAGTCTTAAAACCATCAGACCGCAGTGCTTTAAACTATCAGACATCAAGAGAAGTTAAGAACAAGATACATTTAAGTCCGGAAACTTAAATCACTGCGACTGATTTTCGCTAAATGTCAGATCACCACGTTCCAAGACACATTTGTCTAATCGGACCAAGTTGACGCTAAGTGGTAATCTGACATTTAGCATTCTGAACTAATTGACGCCACTTGATCCATTATAAATCCAAATGTCCAATTTTGTTATTGTGCCGTTGGCATGGGCATTGTCGGGTTAAAAATTTGACCCTGCATATTCGGCATTTGGGGCAAACTATACATAGGCATGGGCATTGATGGAGCGCTCAGCGGCGTCTCTGGTAGGCCGAATAGGAATCTGAAGTAGCGCGCGAGGTTCCATAAAACATTGGACGTCTCCGGTACCCTGCATACATACAATAATCATTATCACTTATGATTAAGTTACAAATGACAGTCAAAATAAAACAATTATTCTCAAATTATAAACAATGAATAATTTATTATCATTTATTGGAGAACAAATGCAATTTCTAAATAATATACTTTTAGTATAACCTTTTTTTATTATTTTACACATCTAATGAACTTAAAAATAAATAAATAATTACATAAATTAATTATCCAATACATTCCAGTTCATATTTACAAGAATTCAGTTGATTTCATGGAAAGAAATCAAAGTAACCCGTCACCGAAAAGATTGCCATAAAAAATATTGATCAAGTTTCTAAATGCTCCGTATCACTTGCATCCGTATCAGTGTTATTATTGTGATGATTTATATGTCCAAATTTGTGAAAAGGCTTTTTCTTCCTCTTAATTTTCTTCTTTGATTTCTTTCTTTTTCTTTTAATTTTAACTTCTTTCTCACCATCATCATCAAGGTGGTTTTGAATGACTTCGTGAACTTCAACCAAACCTTCAAGAGTATCTAGACAGTACATTAACAGATTATATGTTACAGAGTAGTATTTGGGGGGAGTTTTGGGCTTAAGAGTATCCTCCATGACTTTTTCGGTGTAATCGTCTAAAGATTTAAAAAGAACTGTCATCATGTCAGTGATAAAATCAGAAAATCCTCTCCCAAAAGTATTTTTATAAACTGAATTATCTTTTTTGTTATTTAAGTTTTTAAGATTATAGTTATAATTTTGTGGTTCGGGTAAACCCAAACTTCTCCTCGTTCTTTTACGCTTTTTATGGACTTTCTTTCTACGTATCTTTTTAGTTTCGTTCAATTTTAATTTCGGCTTATCTGTTACATTATAGATAATGATTGGCTTCCAATCACTTGGTTCTAATGTTACAACGGTACTTGTAGGAATAAAAGTGGTTTCGTTTTTATCATCTAACACATTTTTGGTATTCAGAATATTTTTTCTGTATAAGGATAACCTGTTGTTATTCGGCTTTGGAATAAACATAGACGGATTAACGTAGTATTTTATCCTGGGATAGTAATAGGTATTTGGATAGTTGTGTTTATATTTCTTTGTTTTAACATATTCGAGAAAGTCTTTATTACGCTTCAGTTTATCTAAATCTACTTTAAATTCTACATATTTTTTTGGTCTGTACCGTACTGGTTTTCTATGTGATATTTTTCTTTGCGCAATATGTCGTGGTTGTGGGATAAGAAATTCTCTCGGCGATTTTGCTTTTTCTTCAACTTCTGGTTCTACACTCTTAGCTGTAGAAACAGCAGAATTGAGTCCTCTGAATGTTGCTGGCATGGCGTCGTAAAATACACTGGCAATTGGATCGACGAAACTCCTTATTTTGTCAACCACGGGTTCAAGATATCTGAGCAGTTTCGACTTACCATCCCACCTTTCCGCAGCTCGAGTTGAATTAAGAAGTACGGTAGGCGCCTGTTGTGACGACTGAGCACTCGCGTCGTTTTGCTGTATCAGCTCCTGTGTATGTGAATGTGAGCCCAATCCTGTGGGGCTGTACAACTCTGGCGATCCAAATTGTGGGCTGATTCCGCCTACTGAGTATGTGTGCGAAGTTGCGCTTGGAAAATCGATCGGATATTGCGAGTAAAGGTATGGATGATTCTGCAAACCAATGCTGGAATCCAAACAAATTTATTGTGAGTAACAAGGTAGCTCCAAATCTTATAGTCCAGTCTTGATAGTAGTCCAAGTATTTGTCGGTGTTGGTCTTAAGTTGAAGTCGAACAGTTCTTCAGTTATCATAGTTTAGTCAGCTGTTTGTGGATGTAACTAGATTAAAGTAATAAAGTCTAAGTAGTTCACGATCCCGCTATATGCGGATATAAATTAAAAATAAGTTTTCACTGTCATGAAAGTTAGCATCGGTCCGATCATGGTATGTTGTATGTTTTTTCAAGCAAAACTATTAGTAAAATTTGTCGTGCGTAACATTTATAAACACAGAATTGATTCCATATCGGTCACGTTAACAAGTCCGGTGAAATCTCATACATTATGTACAATATCGTGCGTGTCTGCTATATAGTCACAAAAAACGGTACAGTCATGCGAGTAACTTATTAACATTCTTAGTACGCATCGTTGCAAACTTTTTTTCAATATTTCCATAAGCCTTTCCGAATTCAATACGGATGATTAGATAGAAATTAGCATCAATGTGTGCACTGTGATTAATTAAACGGAAAAAAAGTAAATATTTTCGTAAATTTCTAATTGTACATTAAAACAGTAATTTCATTTAAAGCGATTAAGTTTACGTATGTCATGTACATATAAACTTTTGTCGATTTTTAAACTATTAGTAGGCCTAAAACTAAATACAATATAAAACACGATTTTACTGTATAAAACCAATTTAATTAAAACCGACAGTGATTGTCAAATAAATTCAGTCCAACCGTTTGTGCAGAGGTTTATTCAAAATGTTTAGAAGTAACATATTTGGAAATGGTATTTTTTATTAATTAAATGAAAATACTTAAGCATGAAGTGCATTCCTAAAAAAAATAATGTTATATTTCACTTATAAGACTAAGGCATTACTGTTTCCTCTAAAAATTAATTGCTTTTCAGCTATGAATGTAAACTTACCCGGTGCTATAGCTTTCGTATAATTTCTTCATAGCCATTCCCACGGTGACCATGAGAGCCATCTTGCTGGCCAAGAAGGCCTTAATGGTAATTACTGATACCATGAAGAGACCAAATATCACAACCCCAGCGGACTTCATACCGAAGAGCAGAGGGATGACTGCCTGCATTACCTTTCGCCTATGTCTTCGTCTCTCTAGAAAGGAGATCACATATATAATGTTTATTGTGAGATATATAATACTTTGTCAATATAGTATTTGTATTTTGCATTTTATATATTTATAAAAAAATGTTGTAAAATCAAAGATTTTCGGTAATAGAAACACAACAATATTTCTTATAAGTGTGTTTAACATACAATAATGTAACACAATAAATTAATTTATAATAATTAAATTCGAACATGTATCTTAATCGAATTGATCGATATCTAAGCATTGCAAAATAAATACGACTAAAACTCCTAGTATATCTTCTTAACCCAAAAATAAGAAAATTGCTCTAAAAATAATAGAATAGCGTTTTGGTGGAAAATAATTACATGCCACCTACTGTTCCATTGTCAATAATTCACTTAAGTTTTGTGAAACTATTCGCTAAGATTGCGATTCTGACAAACGTTTAGTAAGTTTTTGTTTTCTATTGCTTTGTGAAGAATACATAATATTGATTTCTTCAAACAAAACAAACCAATTTGTTTTAGAACATGTTATTTGTTTACTTTGTAATTTTACTTCGCATCTGTAACATATTTTGATCGTACAAAGGTTTTTAGAGGGCTTTTTCATTCTTCCGTAGTTAGGGAAAAAATGAGGGGAAATAAAATAATTCCTATTATCGATCATATATAAATTTATACATTGGGATTTAATTGTTTAATTATGTCAATATTAATTTACAATTGCCTCAGTGATTCAACTACATAGTATAACACTTAATTACTTTTATTTGTATCACTTTTATATTTTGTTTTTTCTACATTTTAACAAGTTTTGTTTTCTTATTTTTAGCCAGCCAAATATATTTTTCTTCTACCACCCTAAGATTTGCTTGTAAAGAACGCATCTTAGCATTAAGCTCGCTTTTTTGTATAAATTATACAAATTCACATATACATCTTTGAAGAGAATATAAATAAATCAAAAATTAAATACCATTTAACACATAGTAACTGTTCCTATCGACACGCAATAAATTAAGTTTCGTGAATAAATAGTGTTATTAATTGAACATTTCAACTAGCGTGTGTTAACATATAGTATATAATATTTATATACATATGTGTATATGTGTATGTAGTTTACTGTTGGCATACCTAATATTTAATATTAGAATACTCAATTCATATATGATGAAATCATTATAACAGCCTAATTGTTAAACAAATTAAGACACTGTTTCTCGAAAATTATTGTCTAAAACTCTGAATATCCTATTTATATACATGATGTTTCCATTCTCTTTATTAAATTAAAAAATAAATAGTCATTTACGTTTAGAACATTGTAAGGAAGAAAATCTAACGAAATGTGAGTCAATTCATGACGATTTATTGGCAAATACACGAAATTATTGACGTGGAGGGAATTATAATCGGAATCAACGGGGCCAAATAATACGCGTCAAATACGTAAATAGCTTTGTGAGATCGGAATAACAAATAACACCATAAAAGAGGCGTCAAGTCGTAATATTTGTTTACTAATATTCTTCGTTTCCAATCGTAGATGTGTTTATAATGCTGGATATCGTGAGAAAATCATTTTACAGCAATCATAAATTTTTTATTATTTTATTGGCTTAACAAAAGAGTTTTGGTGAGAAAAAAACTCATTATTTTTTGGCATGGGAGATAATATATTCCTTAAACACCTCATAAAGCTTTAACTTGTAAGAAAAATGCTATATTTATTTTTCTCGCTACGAAGCGGTGAAGGTATACGTTGAAAAACATTTTGCACACAATTTTTGCCTCATAACAAAATAATATTAACCTCTACGTAATCACGTTTTTATTCAATATTTACTCCTAATATTACACATCAATATCTCAATTAAACCAGTTAAAGAAGAAGCTAGATAATATTAAATTATTTATAAGATTTCATATAAACTGTTTCAATATAATAAACAGTTTCCTCCCAATAAATGGTCCATAAAAGTTAAATGATGACTACAAAATGCTAAAATATTGAGTAAAATGATACGAATAAATGTTTTCTGTCATAGAATCTTCCATTTACGGGAACGAACATAAAAGAGAATTACGGTATAAACGGACGCTTGTATTTCGTTATGTTAATAAATGTCCCTCAGTAAATAACTGGCTCACAGATTTATAATATACTTCGTCATATGTAGTGTATATAAATAAAAGTTTAGTTTAAATTTATTTAAATATATTAACTAATTGAAATAGAATAAAATAATGTCTTGGAAATAAAATTTCACGAATACTTTTGAGTTTTATTTTTCAAATTACCTGCTTTAATATTTTTGATACAATTTTTGAGTTTCATTCAAGGTATTTTATAATGGATCTTAGTTTTTTCTTTCTTCTAACACTGCCGAATCATGTCGCTTCAATTTTTTTGTGGTAATCTCATAGTCGAGGCTTGATGGCTTATGGTGCTAACAACGATATTGTTATATACTATATGTTTAAGTAAATTTTCACTCTCATATAGTCTACGTAACCGACTTATCCACAAACTTCCAGGGTTATGTTTACAAATGATTGAATTTCATGAAGCATCAATAGCTGAGTGGATTTCCATGTATTCAGGTAAACATGAAACGTATGCGACATAGTTTTAAATGAAAATACTCTTCATTGTAAAACCATAAAGTTGGATATTATGAATTATTTACAGATGAAAATTACTTTAATCAACTAAAACGTTGAAATCGTCGCTTTTATAAGTTTTAATTGTTTTTGACTTACAATATTAAATGTTCTAGTCCACAGAAATATCTAGTGATTATTTTGAGTCCTATCTATTATTAAGAATCTGCTAAAAAGAAGAAATTCTATGATTCTATATCAGTTTATACATATTTGTATATACATAATTCCCAGTTCAAAACCCAGTGATTGAATATAAACGATTAATAAAATATATAAAATTAGTTTTTTATAAATTTGTATTATGAATAATGTTCTAAACAAGTATAACAGATTGGAAACTATATATTACGGCATCATAAGTATACATATGAAACTATAAGAAATGTTTCATGTACTTACACAATTACTCTAACACTATTGAACGAAATATAACAAAAGATTGTATTTTTTACTTTGCCATCATGAATCTGTAAAATAAATTCTACGGAAAACTTACAAATTTACATACACTGACTATTACGTATTTACTCACGGAAAGTTTTAGAAAACTTATATATATATAAATATATATTATTTATTTAATTATAATACAACTTACTGATAGGTCTTATCTGAAGTCTTTTGTGTTTCTCGTCGTCTTCATCTTTGCCAGTTGCTTTCTTCGGAAGTGGTTCCGGATCATCTGCAAGGATAAAATTTTGATTTGTATAATTCAAAAAAACCAAACATTTTATTCCTCGTCAAAACCAAACATTATTCTATATTAATTATAATTCAATATATAAATTGTATCTTGAGTTTCCTAATTAATTTTACATGCGAATCGCTTAATATGAATAAGAGTGATTCATGTTTCATGTAACTCAGAACGGTGTAAACCATGTACACATCAAAGAAATATTATTCAACCAGCTTAAAAACCTAATTATGTAATAAATGGTAATATAGAGTATATTAAATATGTTATACAGTCTCATTAAAACCATTATTCCTTCCTTGAATGCTTAAAATTATAACTTTAAAGAGAATATACTCTTTGAAATTAATTATTATAACTTTGTTTTCAAACTGTACAAAAGTATAATTTTTTAAAATGAAGATTTTTAAGATAAAATCCAGTGCTTTTTCCATGAACTAGCAGATTTTTCAACAAAAATAAAATACCAAGAAATCGTTGGATTATTCTAGTAGACTTGCTACGTTTATATTATTTAAATACATATTTACAAGCTTATTACGATTATAATATTTCGTTTAGAAAACAGTTACTTTAGTATGTAATCGTTATTAGTTTAACTAACACTAATTTTCAGATCTACTACTCGGTTTCATAAAAGTTTTTTGTATGTTATAGGCGGCAATCGAGCAAACGGCCTACCCGATGGGAGGTACTGTGGCTCATGGACATCTGCAACATGGTGTTGTGGATACTTTACCAGACTTCAAGTGAAGAGGGAATGGTGAAAAGGATGCTGATGTTTCAATAACCATCAAGTCAAAGAGCATTGCCCTTGGTCTGATTGAAAGTTGAGTTATTGTATGTCGATGGCACTGGGAACACGAACCGACTTACAGTTTCAGTGTCTTTCTGGACCCCATGACAATGAAAAACGCTCAACACTTTAAAATGGACTTGGAATGATGCAGGACAGAAGGACATTGAACTCATCAACAATGTCTTTGTACACATCAATCGTGGGAGACGAAAGAGTGAGAAAAAAGGAAAGGGCAACTGACACCCTCACTCATCCTATGAAACGTAGCCATTAGAAACTACTTCTTCGATATTCTGTGAGAGGGTGCTACTCGTATTTGCCCAGTCGAGCCAGCCCATGTTCGAGCTGTAGTTACTTGACGACAACTAGGTTCTACCAAGTAATGATTCATTTTACCCGACGTTTTGTAACTTTGCAATAACCATATTTACAGACAGATGAGATGAAAGTATTATGTATTTTTAAGTGTGTAATAGGTAAAATTTTATATAATACTATTAGTTTTTGATTTTAAATACATATTTAATATATATTTATGTTATATATATAACATATAAAATTTATATAGCTTACTGTTACGCAATATCCTAAGCATATGTTCCTGACAGTTGACAACGAAACAGACATGCCGGTTAACCAGTGTTAAGATAAATTGTCTTTAAGCCGCAGTAATAAATATTTTTTTGGTATTGTTTAAATTAATCCAGAGACCTTCGGTTTTCTATTACAATTTCTATTAAAATCTTTGTATATACATAAAAGGAGTATTATCTTTCAAACTATAGATTGGCAATTAATTGTGAAATAACAAACAATTCGAGATTTACAGCAACGTTTTACTTTTATTTAAAAGGTCTTAATCCGCGACCCTATTTAATAACGGAGGGTGGGGATTACTTGGAAGTTATTTTATACTAAGTAAATGCTTATCTAAAGGTTGAGCTGTAGATAGAAAGAGCTTTGGTTTTTATTAATATTAATTTTACGTTTCACAGACATTTTTAATTAAAACTTCAGATTATTATTTAAGTACTCCTTTAACACGTGTATTCAAGACGAAAAATATAATAAATGAATCTGTAATAGCTTAAAGTTTTTGAGTACAAACCTAATTTAGTATGTCACTATGAAATAAATTACTATATTACTTAAAAAATAGCAGACATTTCAGTGTATGTACATTGTGCATATACGTGAATAGTATCATAGTTATTGCAAAAAGCAATACTTTTTATGTATATGTAGTAATATTGAAAAGGTAAGGGTTTCTGGAAATTTATTCAAGGATATATTGATAGTAAAACTTACGATCACTTTACTTACATCATATAATAAGAGTGACATAACTATAGAGATCTAAATGTTTTTCAATTCATTCAAAATTCTAGTCTGTTCATTATATCACACATTCCATGGCTAATTATTTATAATCTACATTGTAAAAGAATCACGCTGCATGCATGAATGTATGCACAAAAAATTAGCATTCTTAGTTTACGTTTATAATTTTAAATGGAAATAAAATTTAAAGTGTTCTAATTGTGTTTTATTATTATAGGCTAGGTGAATCATATTTGGGTAAAAATATGTGGTTTTATTTACATATTTTCAAAAAGAATGATGTTTAACGACCTACTAATTTTTGTCTCTTTTTAAAACTTTCCTATCCTTGTTTAATTAAGAGTGTTATTTTCAGGCAAATAAAACTAATATTTTTCGGTTTATACTACGAGTATTTTATTATTGTATTCATTCCCATCTCGTCCGACAGTGATCACCGTTGGTGAAAAGTAATTAAAACATAGAGAGTATGTAGTTTTTAGAATAATTAAATACGCGTAGTATTATCCGATTAATATTACTTACATTTAAATGAATACTCGCGAAAGTCTTAAAACTCATTATGATGTATTCACAATAACAAACTTAGCTTTATTAAACTTGTGATACTATAACATAGCATTATTAGATAGTACATTATTGTATAATTTGTGTGAGAAGCCGTCCCGGATATTGGATACCGGCAAAATTTATGCAGCATCAGGCGGTTATGCTTCCTGAATTGAAACCTTCAATATGATAATGTACGTTGACTCTTTATAACAATGTGTGGTGAAAAGTATTAATTTATACTCTAAATAAATTACCAAGTCTGGGATGTTTCTACTAATAGATATCAAAATATTTTATAGTCATTAAAAAAACTAATAAAACTCTGCCACAAAACCGTCACATTGTCTAATTTTTCTGGACTACTTGCGTCGTTCGCGTGACAAAAACGAATATCGAATAATTAATTAGACTTCCTTTTGCATAGACTATATTTTTTATTAATTCATCTCACGATGGATAAAATTTATTTTTGCAATATACATATTTTTTTTATAACAGCGAGGTTTTCGAATTTTAATTTGTTTTATACACTTTTTATGTAAAAAAAAACATCTGATTTATATAGGAATTACTTTCGATTTTAAGGTATTTCAAATTCAAATTACAATTTATTATTCGTACCATCATGTCGTTCTTGTTCGATTACTATGGACGCTTAGTTTATTTAATAAATGAAGTAAAATGAAGAGCAATTTTATTTTTTCTTCATATTTTTGTGCGCCGTCAAGTCTTCAATATCGCCTTCGGCTCGATGAAAAAATAAGATCACAATTCCATAATTTAATTTTTCCATATTAAATATAAATGATTTTTAAAATTTTAGTGAAATTAAAAATTAATTTATCTCTGTTTTTCGTTTTTATGTTTTTGTAAAAACACAAGTATCCTTTTAAATTCATGTTCAAATTTTAATTAAATGAAATGAAAATCATGTTTGAATATTGTAGCTTTATAACAATTTTGAAGCATTTAGTAGGACAACCATACGTTACGATAGTATAAATTTTGCATTTTTGTTAAGTCTTGTTTATTAATATATTAATTATAAATATATAAATGAAACAGTCAGTGGTGGTCTATTGGTTAAAAGGCCCGCCTCTCATGCACAAGGGTGCGGTTTCGATTCTGGCCCTGGCAAGTGCTACTAATGTAATTTTTCCGAGTCATATGTACTTTCTAGGAGTATTTAGACATCACTGATTAATGTTGATTCCCAAAGAGGGTTGATTTCAGGCAGGTGGCCGGTCATAAAAACAAATAGCCAAAACTATTCACAATATTTAAGGCAGAACCTGGCTATAGCTGGGAAATTGCCAGGTAGAAGAAGAAGACACATATAAATGAAATAAAAATTTGAAAAATATCTTTATGTCTATATTAAACCACTTGTTCTCATTTTGTATTTTCCATAAAATTTGTTACGTAAAGAATTGATTTTATTCCAATCTCCCTGTTTTTCGTTTCTTGCTTTTCTATTAAACGAACCTCTTTAATAGAACAGTATTTATTAACAAATAATATGTTACATTTATCTTTTCTTGTTTTATCAGTCTATTTTTAATCTTATCTAGTCTAACCCGTTTAAAGTATTTTCTATTACAAGTTTAATGTTTGTATATAATATTAAATTACAAATAAATTAATCCCTCTATAGCCTCTAATGTAATTTAAACAACAGAGATCACAATTGTGAAACTAAGACAATCAAACTCGTCTTAAATTTTAATCAAAATAACATTTATTTTGTTATATTAAAAATGAATTTATATATTTATATTACTCATTATAATAAATAATAATTATAACTAGACGAATAAACATATAAATTAACTGATCAAAATATAGTTTCAAGTAACGAACTCAATTATACCGTTTAAAGGTAGACAACTCGTATAATACAAACAAATTTTACTGTTAAATTAACATTATTATATCCAGAGATTTTTATCTTAACGATGATGTGGTCGGAAAATGATTTCTCTTATCTCTAGGCTTGTTGAATTCCTTGAGATGAAAGCGGGTGCTTAATTTGATATTGTGTTAATTACCAACTATCACGATACGTCAGATAAACTGCTAACAAACTAAAAACATATATTATTCGTATTATGTTTCCTTATATTATTCGACATTAAACTATGCGGATATATGTATTTTGCTAAAATAGCCTATTAACGACTAACATACCTGAAAATTTTATGCGTTTAAAGCACAATACGATGTTTAAAACCTTGTTTTATCCGTGGTTAAATTATTCTTAAGACAGAAAATTAAAAAATAAATATATAACGCCATTCAATTCCTTAATACTGTAATTTATATAACTTTTTTATTTATATATTTACTTAAGTAAATACTTTTAAAGTTTTTTATCTATTTAACCTGTATATATATCTTTCTTCATAAGAATGCAGAAATAATTAATTAAAATAATATATTAAAGAAACTATACACCATATGTGCAAAGTTTTTTTTATATTTTTAAAACACACCAAACATAAAACTATATTCATATATTTATTTCTAATAAATTGCACATTGAGTTAATTGACTACTTATGTATCTGAAGCGTGACAGATTTAGCAATGATTCTGTAGTATGTTATTTTATAATAATTATATTGTTTATTTTATCTTTACGCTTTCGATGTGGGTGGTTGTTAATTGGAAATGTTAAACTCGTTTAAGCACTTTGGAAACACGGAACCAATTATCCCCTTAAAACGATCTGTCCGTAAAGGTGATTCGAGATAGTTGTAATTCAAGCTAAAACAATTTCGGTTACAAAATAAATACGATATTAGTTATAAATACTTTACGTTTATGGTTTTAAGACAAACATAATTTATCTTAGTATTGGTTTCACTTTTGGGATTAATAATTTTACAATAAAACTTACCTTTGACACTTCTGCTTTCGAATACTTCTAAATCCAATGCGTCACTCCTGCCTTCGGGATTGGAGAATCTGAAGGTGAAGTCATTCCAGTCGAAGCTGATACCATGGGTGGTTAACAGCTTTGTTAAGGGATCTTTGCTTGACCTGGCTTGCCTATTGCCCAAAGGCTCTACAGTGAGAAGATCGAATAGCTTAACAGACTTCTGTTGCCTCAAGCTCCTAACTAATTCTTTGGCCATATTATCTATACATGTAGCATTATCACTACAATTCAATTCTACTACATCTGACCTAGCCTGTCCTAGCAACGCTAAAGTGACAAAGTAAATTAAAGGAGTCATTTTCACTGTCTTTTCACCAGCACTGCACTCTTCACCAATCCATTTGTAGGTCACAGGCGCACCACCTGCTTCGGTGGTTAGTTCGTCAATGAATCCCTCTGTGATCCGTCTATGATTTTTATTCTCGGTCACGCTAGAACGAACAGCATACGCTGTGTGTGCATTTTTTTGTCTAATGTTCCTATTTACTTATTTGCTACACTTTTTCCACTTTGCGTGATAATGATTTTACGTGTATTATTTTAAGGTACACTGTCGAAGATTGTAAGCAAAAAGTATTAACGCTTTGGCAGTTTTGTTTAACGTGAGGAGTGGTATTTACTTTCTATGTAATTATATTAAATGCAACATTCATTGTAATGCAAAAACTAGTAGAAAGACATTTCAATTTTGTTACCCATCTGTTTAAAAGATTTGTCAGTACGACAAGTGTATATTGCAAATTTTAAATACCAAATCAATAAAAAAATTAAATTCTCAAAATACCAAAGAAGTTTTATGACTGATTTTGGGAGCTCTTAATGGAAAATGTTTTCAAAAGTTTCCAAAAGTTCAAAAAGCTTTTACAAAATATTGACACCAACTGCAACCTCGTGGCTTTGATTCCCGTTAGGTTTCAAAGTTAGATTTCGGGTAGTTTGCCTAAACTTCAGACTTCCGTCTTACAGGTTTAACCACAAACCATATTATTTTTGGGGTGATGGTACCATGGAATAAACATTTACGAACTTTACCCAAAGTAAAGGAAAATAATACTGAATAACAAAATTAAAAACTTTATTTGTTTACCAAAGTTACCTCTTATGACTACTATAACGATGGTAGCCGAACAAAAGTTATCCAAGAACAATTGAAAATAACTTCGCTAGAGTAAACATTTCTTATTCAATCAATCAGTGCACATATTAATATTATGTATTGAGCCTGGTATTTTTGATTATATAAAACCTAAAGAGACGAATCAAGTTTTATATAAAATGGTACATTTTGGAATGTTCCTGGGTAATAAGACTTGGAACTTAATTAATATGATTTCAAACTTTTGTAGAAAATTTTAATTTAATTATTGTTTGAAAGCTTACTTTTATGACATTCGATTTATTTTGTAAATTTATGACTGCCGCCTTGAGTTCGACGTCCAGCAAATGAGTATTACAGCTGTTTAAGTATTCAACTTTATTTATTGCCATAGCGTTTTCTTGACCTAATTGTTTAATTTTGAAAACTGAATTAAAATCCTATTTTTGTTCTTGTTTCATTATTTATATGATAATTTGAGGCATATTTGAAACCTTAATTTCACATTTGTATATGAACAACTTTTTTCAAACTAGTTACTTCTAAAACGATCAATTGAACACTACGACGTGTATTAGTGTTTATTACTTTGAAATTATTTTTCGTTATACAATAATATCTGATTAAAGGAATTAACTGAGTATGAACAAAGTACACTAACTTATCGAAAAAAAAATATTTCTGAAGGCTTGAAATAATCTAAAAATACAAAAATGTTGATCTTACCGAAATATACATATATTATTACGGAGATATAATGGTTTGGATAATATGTTGTAATAGATAGAAAATGAAATCTTCTAAAGCAAAATTACAAGTTACACAAATACATGTTTCGTAAATACTCTTAATGAACGTAAATGTGAAAAGTTCTTGTTGAAAACAAACTTGATAAATTTTCTTAAACATATTATCTGAAGGCGTCAATATGGAGGGATTGAAAGTTACACCAATAAGTACAATGTACTACTTCAATGTATATACTCCGATTTTTGCATTTTTTATAAAAATAAATATGCTCTTTTTATTTGGTAATATTGTTATATAGTAATTCTGTATTTGGCTTTACGGTTCTTGCTTTGTTTTTAGAACTTATTAAAATATTATATTCAACTTTTCAACACCTATCTTTAAGATATTTCTAAGCAAAATTCATGGAAGAGATATTCGCAACATAATTAATAGTAAAAGAATTATTACATGCTTCTATTAATTAAGGAACTTATTATGTTATTATATTGCACTTGTAACTCAGTGGAGACATCATCCACTAATTGAATTGAAACTTCCGATTATTTTGGATGATAGCAATGTCATTTAATACTTTCATCTTAAAAACAAAATACGATTTTTTTTTTTTATGGCTCTTAAATACCTAAAAAAGAGTTTTGTTGAGAAAAGCGTGAATAAAAGATTATTTTCATTAATTGCTCTTATTGTAAATCAACATAGTCCTAAGAACATATAGCTGCAAAAGTGGTTTTTATAGATATTCGAACTACATATTTATGATTTTATTTATGTATAAAAAATATTATTGGAAAAAATATAAAGATATGATATTGACTATCTAAAAAAAACTACTTTCCCATGAAGGTTACCCAGAAGTAAAAAAAGTAGAAGAAAACAATATAGTAATAGATAAAACGTATTAAGGAAAATTTTCATATCCGTAAAGCTGTTATTACTTAGAACATTATAAAGCAATAGAGAATTTTAATAAACTTCCAGAGATTCATTAGCTCTTTGGACATAATTTATGGACAAATTAATCTACGAAATAATCAAAGGCGTTTGCAGCCAGCCCTCGTAACAATAAATCTTGCTATAGTATCTTGTCGTTAAAGATTTTTGAGTAAAAAAGCTATGAACGGTCGCTCGAATATTAAAATGCAACATCATACATACTGAAGTTTGCTCTAAGTTGATATTTGTCAATATATAAGTGCTAGTATTTATTTGAATTTACAATAAAAATAAGGTTTTGTTCATCATTAAAAATGGAGGTCATTTATAACAATAATAAAAGCATATTTTTTATACATATATCAAAACAGTGTATTTACAAATATGATCTCGTTTCATTGAACATACATTACGATGCTTTACCATAAGTTTTTATGACTTTATAAGGATTTATTTATAGTTATTTCCATCGTATAAGTGTATTAACAAAAATATATAAAAGCAAAAGTGTAGTGCTTTTTCCGAAGGTAAAAATTTACCTTTTCAAATTCTCTAATTATATAATTCATATACCTGGATAAGTAAAATTTATTTTCTTGTCAGATAGAATACAAATTATATATAGGTTTGATATTCCAAAGCACTTATCAAGAGCAGCAATCATGATAAATATCTGTCTTTTTTGTTCTTAATAAGCTACTTACATACTTGGTATGTATCAAGATGAACAGATTATACGTCAAGAAGGGATCAGAATCCTTAATTATAAAGATCGAGAACAGTTGACATAAAATTCATAATAGACATAAAATTTTCATGAATCCCCGTTGATAGCGTCAATTTAAAACCAATTAACCTAAAACGGGCCGATAAAATGTCGTTAGCATAATTGACATTCAACAAAAGTTGGTTAATTAACCACAATGCAAAAATATTTGAAGAATAATCGGAGACATTTGAATTTATAACGTTTTACCTAATTAAACACACAATGTTTAAGAGGAAGTATTGTATAGGAACAAAATAATAGCACGCACTGCCTGTTTATTCGTTTCCTACAGTAGAGTTTTATTGGCATTGAATATCAAGTTGCTATTTATCGGATATTAGAATATTAATAGGTGATAAATGAATTATTACTTTTATACGTAATAAATATGATTTACATTTATATTACAAAAGATACACTAACATTTATTTCATTTAGATAGTTTTTTTATTATTTTTGTAACTATTTAATGGTTCAGAGTTATTTCAATATTACTAAAATATTTATTTTTAAATTAAAATATATTTGTGTCACTTTTCATTTATTAATCTATGTCGTGTAATAGCTAACGGGTGGGTTTTTTTGTTTAAACTATGATAAAAAAGTACAGTAAATATTGGCGTTTGTTCAAATACGTGTATCTTCTACACTTCCCCTTAATTGTTCTATTGCGTTTGTAACTCATTTTAACAATGATAGTGAGACGTGGACCAATTATTTATCAAAATCATTTTTTATACAAAAATAGTATAATACAGGATATGTTTTTTGTTTTCTATCTCTCTTACATTTCATTAAAATGTCAATTGTTTTAAATAATGCCATTATAGGACTAACATATTTCGTAAAAAGTTTTAAAGCAATGTGCAAGCTTAAAAATATATGGGTGATAAACAATTTATTATAAAAAAAATACTTTTAAATATATTTAATATTATTCAAACATTTATATAGTGACACGTTTAAGTTATTGGTCTTACAAGTTATTTCTAGTTTCCGCTCCCAGCGACTTGCGAATAATTAATGTGACATTTCATTGTTTTTTTATTCACTGGACTATAAACAGAGCATTTTATTGTCAAAACATTTTAGCTTCAATAAATGGTTGGCAGTCACGACGAGTAAAAAGTATAAATGTATAAAATATCTTCCTTTTTGTCTTTTTATAGGACCATTTAGGATTGAGACACATTATATAAGATCACATGCAAATTAAATTTAAATTGTTGGTAATCTAAAAATTTGTATTGATTTGAATAATGGAAATAAGTTTTTCGAATAACGCCTTTTTTATTATTTTATATCAACATGATTATGACTTTTTGTTTCCTTTACAGAAGATTTAATCTCAAAAACACTGACATTACATCGTGTAGATATATCTGTCGGTGCAACAACATTTAAAACCCTTAGAAGACATTTCGTCTGCTGTAAAGGAAACAAAAAGTTTCATATGTATTTTACTTTAGAGGATAAATGTGACATAAGCAAATCTTTAACGCCATTGCGTTACATAGTGATTTCTTTAACAAAATTATTTATTCCAGAGATCGTTGTATGATTTGTATTAAAGAAAAGTAAAAGTTAATTCGTCCCGTGATTTGTAATATGTGACGATTAATAATTCTGTAACTTTAAGTAGAAAGGGAACTTAATTAGTAACCAATTCATAATCAATGTTTTCTATAAACTGTTATGTTTCAATGTTAAGATTGCATGTTTTAATAGTTAATTACTAAAACTTATG